CTCGTATGTTCGTAAACGCACCGTGGCCGGAGATCGTCCCGCGATCCCCGACGTCCGGTGTCGTCGTCGCGATGGCTGGGTTGCGAGGAGGCAGCGCTTTGCTGCCTCACGCGTCCCGCCTCCTCCTTAGCTAGCATGACTGCTTCGCAAAAGGAGGAGACGGCATCCCAGTCCCCCTCGCTCCGCATCATGGCTTGCACTAGGCCCGGACGTGAGAGGTCGCCATCGCCGAACACTTCCCCGAGGGCACGGCGGTGCTCAGCCCACGCAGGGCATTCTCCCACTGTGTGTTCCACCGTGTCCTCAGGGCGGCCCTCGCAGTGATGACACCCGGGCGTTTCCTCCCGCCCTATCAGACACAGGTACCTCCCGAAACTTCCATGTCCGGTGAGGACCTGCGTCAGGCGGTAGGTGAGGACGCCGTAGCGTCTCTCAAGCCACTCCTCAAAGAGGGGACTTACCGCTGCAATGGCAGCGAGCCCAGCCCTCGGTTGCGACAGTCGTTGCTGCCATTCCGCCATGAGATCACGATACAGAATTGCCTAGCTGTAACCAGATTCAGATGAATGTATTTTATTCACATGTAACTGCTCTCCGCAACTGACTCGGGGTGATATGAGCCTCACAGTGAAACTCGTTCTCAGTAACGACTGTTATATACGTTCTGTAAACATTACTAATAGCTTTTCGTGCCTTCAGAGGCACGTAGAAGACCGAAATGTTTAGAATAATCGTGAATTCACACACCACAATTAATATTTAGGTGAATTACTCAACAGATATTTTAAGTTGTGAAACTAATTCGCAAATAATTTCCAAAATACCACCTCTGTTATTGAAACACTAAAACACAGGATGCAAGATGCGAGAATATACAATATGAAACGCGGACTTAATGAAGACTTTCGAATTGAAAGCAGTATCAAAATTATAATTTTTATTAATGTACTTTAATAAGTGTTGAAACTATTTTAAAATACTAAATACACACCTACAATGCAATTACTAAATAAGCATACTAGAACCAAAAGTGACATGATATATTATGGTACGCATATAGCTACATACTTGTAGCTATATAAATATTGGCAATAAACCTGCAAATTGCTTCTAAACCAATGTAACATTGCGGCTACGCGATTGCTAGAAGGTCTACGTAGCGACTACGAGATTGCTACGAAATGTCGTAGGACCTAATTTTGAGTTAAAGACTGTCATTATTATTTAATTTCTAAATGTATTTTTCCGTATGTATCATTGTTTTATTTATCATTTGTTTTGATTTTCCTTTTTGTTCTTGTAATTTGTGTTATTTCCATTTACCTCTCAAATTAAAAATTATTATATTATAGGATAGTGACACATTTATCTAATTCCTTCTATTTGTTTTTAATTTAAGTTTTATACAATTGCATAAGGAAGACTTAATGCTAACAGCATTCTTTGCCAGACATCCTTTAGGTAGTGCAAAAATGTTATGAGAGATAGTGGTAATTATCCAAATTAATAAAAGAGTATCAAAAGCATACATAAAATACGTAAATATAATCGTATAGATATATATAATTTATAAATATCATTATACATTCTATTCTTAAGTTTCTATATTTTATAGACTGCATTGTGTAATATGGGTAAATATACCTTATGGGTTTATTTTTTTTTAAGGGGGGAAAATCATCGAATGACTGCTCCCGCCTGATACCTTATTGATATAAGGTACTAGACATAATATTTGTATCATTAATTTTAATTTAACTTGTTCTGAAATTGTTATACTTAAATGTGAAATATGTTAACAGTCCCAAATGGCCAAATTATTCTTCTTACTATATTGTCTTTGGCATAAAATGGAAAAAACTTTTCTCTAAGGACTGAGAAATCAGTCTGATACCTAACGGTAGGTACTGAATTTACAAACGTTAACTAAATACTAATGTAAGGACCTTTTACCATAATAACACAGTATTGAAAATTCCATTAGTGACCCGTTTCCACAATTCATACTAAAATAAATGAAAACATTGCTTGAAATCAATAAATAGTTTACAAAATATGCGGCAGTAGGATCATAAAGTAAATGAAATGATTAGTTGGTAGTGTGTCGTAGGGGGTAATATGGTGGTGTCACGTGATCGCGGGCCGCAGCGCGCGGCGTGTTCCTCCAGTGACACCGTGCGTTCAGCTGAAATATTCGATGGCTGAGGGGAGGTTGTGCGAGGTCACGCCTGTGCTCGGCCGTCTCCGGCCGCGTCCGTCGCCACTCGGCGCCGCGCACCGACGTGCGCACAGCGACCTCTTGCGTGCGCCGCTACAGTGCCCCATCGAGTTTACGTCCAGCGACCACGCTGCGGACTCTGCCGCTTCTCACACTGCCATCGAATTGTTATCTTAATATCGTTCCTAGGCGACTCGCCTTTAGCGAACGACCGCCGCGAATCATTGCTAAAACGTATATTTTCCACATGATACACCGAAACTAACGCATATGTCACAAAACGGGCCGTTCGTGTTGTAAACGAGTCGAGCGCTTAATCGATCGACTGCATTAAAAAGTAAAAATTATTATTATCGTTTTGCAGTCGACCTTTGCGGATTTTGTTGCGCTGCGATAGGTATTTTTTATTTAAATTTTACACACAAAGCAAAAGTGGTAAAACATTGCTTAGGCTAACTGAGTAGTCGATGATATCCAGTGTGGTGCCGTCCTGTGCTTAGTTCGCTCAGTGAACAGTGCGTCAAAATTGTCGTCGAGGTGTTTTTCCTTCTTCGTTTGGTTGCGGGCTTAGCGCTATATATTCTCTCGGTTGGTTCTTGCTTTGTTTTGATATTCTTGTGGGGAAAAACGCGATCCATGCTTGGAGTTATGACTACCATGGTATGGTTTCCTTTGTCTAAGTTATTTATCTACTTTTTCTCTTCTTAGTAAAAGAAGTTAGTTCACATACATTATCACATTAAATTGATGCTTTTAGACTGAACGAATGTTACAACAATTTATGAAAGACCATCGAACCATTCTTCTTTCATAATTTCTTGTAGGGTTTGTTGGTTCTGACTGAGTAGTTTATATCTGAGTAGCTATAACTAGTTATTTGAATGTTATTTAGTCGTTTACATTGTATTTCTATAATAAAGCCGTGCTTCTCGCTTTGGAAGCTTCATTGTGACGTGAGTTACAGTCGCTATATTGTACCTATCTATATTCATAGTATGGCGGCGACTCTATTGTAAAAACTATGCAGAGCATGCAGCCCCTCCCTCGATCTTCGCATTCTGGAAGGATTCCAGGGGTTCTGTTCAGGCTTGAGTTCCGCTGCATACAATACCCATCAGATCTCGCATTGTTGGCGTAATGCACAGCTTTAATTCATCTGTAGCCACATCAGATCGTTTTGCTATTGGACACTATTACATAATGATATATGCTTAGAGTCGATTGTTGTAAGTGACATTTTCACCAACCAGAACTGACAGTGACAGCTGCAGGGGGTCGTTTTATTTGTCGCCATTAATTTGTTGACACTGACAACCATTACAATCTGAAAATATTCTAACACTACTAGAACATACAATATGACATTGGTAACAAAAGGGATTGATTAGTTCTCACACCGTCCTTTGTTTTACCATAAGGTCAATAACATTGGCTTTGTTACGTGTGACCACTCAAATACGAGCTTTAGTTTTATGGCTCAGATGTAGCTTCATAAATCCCATGTACAACGTCGTGGACAACCCAGTTTCACGAATTGACATTATCAAGTAACATTAAGCCGAGGAGCTTGTGGTTTCAAGTCAGATTTTCTGCGAAAGTAATGAGATCTTTTGTCAGAAACAAAGCATCTACTTAGTTTATGAATTATGAATGTGTTTAGCGTGTTTCCTCCAAGATCGTGAATATAGTTATGATGTGTTTCAAGATACCCGACCGCCTCTAAAGCCTCGTAAAGCGAGTTTACGTAACTTCGCTAACACTCTCGGCTGTCAAAATGCTAAGCTTTTGTGATGTTTCGTAATAGGCCATTAAATAAATATAGACTAATAGACTAATAAATTGATGCGTATATTTTGAAAATCTGAGTCAATTTATTTTTGTTTGTACTTATATGTAAATTCATACATTATAATTTGCAGCGTTGGATCACTTCGCAACATTAACCTGCCTAGTATTATGAGTCACACGTAGACACTTACTCACGAGCTTTGCTAACGCTACGCAGCTTTTGTATACTTACGTGTAACCAATCAGTCGTCATAATCTAACACTAGACACACTGACCTTTATTTATACAGATGACAATGTACAAAGAAGTTTACAAATTGGCTAAAGTGTCAGGTAGCATAATGCTAAGATCACAATGGCAGAACTCTTGTCTAACAAGACGTTTCATTCGATATTAGTATTGTATTGTCGTTCAATGTCAGTTTCCTCGTGTCCGTCATTATTCTCGAGCTCCAACAACGGAGAGAAACGTCTTGCGCACATTGAACATGTGCACAAAAAGATGAAAAGAACCGCCTCCCCATTGACACAGTGTCTTGAATGAGGCCCGGCCTCGTTCTCCGCTTTCAGGCGCTCGTAGCTGTATGCCTATTAGACGTGCTCTATACACTTGAACTACTGTCTTAGCCGACATTTGTGGAAACCTAAGCTGCTTCCGACTATTTACGACATAGCTGCGTATCTTTTTGTCCATTCTTGTACCATACTGTTGTTCGTTACAATAAAGTATATTACAAAACCATACCATCGTAAAATAGCCTCAATACTATTCAATAGTACTGAGAATATTTACTAATACATACATACGATTATCGGAATAGAAGAGGACGAGGGTTAAGAAGTGTACGTGGGGATAAATCGATCATCTATGCAAAACACGGCAATCGCACTCCTCGAGTCGGCGTCAGCCTTCGAGCGAGCCGTGCTGGAATGTGAGCACCTGGAGGCGTCGGAACACGGCGGGTTCCGGTGAGGACGTTGGCGCGGCAGCGGCATGGAGGAGCGCGGCCCACCGGACGTGCCACTGATCGTGTCGCCGCCGTGCGCCGGCGCCGGCGGCGCGGCGCTCACCACCTCGCGGCGCGCTGCCTCCGCCCGCGGCTCTCGCGATGACCCGCCGCCCTCCACGTGGCGCTCCTCGGTGCGTGTGCGTGACACCGGTTTCCGTGGCTCACGCAAGAGTGTCGTTCGCCTCGAACCGCCCTGTAATGGCCTCAACGGGTTGCCTGCCATCGGCAAGGAGGTAATTCATTTATCTCTTTGCCAGATACTGTCTTTCGACCAGTGTTTACTACATTTAAGCTTAAGATTTGAAAAGGTATTTTCGGCAATGAGTTGATGCTCATTTTTTACAATAGAACTTGTGAGTATAGAAAAGTTTCTGACCAAGATGTGTAAGTATATGTAGGTATACCTACTGCGACTAGCTGACTGCAATGGTAGTGGAAACCCTACTGAATAACTAACACAAACAGAGCATACAGCGTGAACCCGCGTATGAACTGCTCACATATTTCACGCTCTTGCGTCCTCTACACGCACTCTACTCGCGTACTGGACTGATCCCGATACGTTATTATTCTTTTATATCCAATTACATTGAATATTACATAATTATGACAGTTTGTTACTTTTTTATACAATTTAGAATGAGATTAAGTGATCCAAGAGACAGATTGAGAGAGAGAGAGTTTGTACCTTAATGCTTCATGTAACATCTTAAACAACAATCTCGAATACCTACGACAAGCACGACAATCACTAATCTGCGATTACGCATACATACTCGTACATAGAACATTCACGAATACTTCATTCATTACGTTTCATATAATTACAATCTTGGCTTTTGAGAATGAATAATTTTGTTTCTGTTCATCGGGAATGCCTCCGCTAACGTTATAATGCATCTTACTTGACTTGAACATACTCAAACTTTGTAGTGATTATTACGTAGCGGCTGTTTCAGTAGTTATAACTAAAAAAATGAAAAAGTATTAAAAATATGTATAAGTACTGTTGTATTATTTTAGTTACGATATTAATGTAGTTCCAACCGAAAACAAATCACGTTAACGATATAATATAAAATTAATAAATAAAAGCTTATTTTTAAATTCCTAAGAAAGCTTTTTAAACGATATTTTTGTAAACATAATTAAACTATTAAAGTATGTTTTTATTTATATTTGATAAACAGACGGAACGATTTAATTTACTAGAGCAACAGGAACAGGGAAATAAATGCTGATCATATTACAAATGCCCACGTACTGTCGTGAACAAGAGAAGAATGCGTTCGCCGTAACATAGCCGCATACCACAGTAGATGAGTGCCGAGCCTGCAGGCCCACGTAAACAATAGTGACGTCATTGTTCGCAGGTACTGTCTCTGGGTGCGACGGGTGGCCACAAGGGAACCACGCAGCCTTCTCACCCCTGCACTATCCTCCACCATTCTCCTTACAAGGTAAAACCATACCATACGTAATCACGTTCTTATAGTAATTCTAGGTACCTATTCCAAATGTTAATGACAACGATAAATCATTCTTTCCTTCCATATAACTACTCCATAATTACTAAATAGCTATTTATGTAGCATTATATAGTTCGTATTGTAGTTTGCACATAAGAAAAGTATAAATTATATTCGTCGCATTGACCTCGCTCCACAACCCGCGCCAGCCGGCACGCAACGCGCTACACTTCCAAATAGTTTTGTTGTAAAATATTTAAATTGATCGCTGCACTGACTTGTATTACAGGCCGCTTGGGATTGGTTGATCCTAATATTGGTGATCTACACGGCGATATTTACTCCGTACGTGGCCGCCTTTCAACTAAATGAGCCCGACTTTGATAAACGTTCCCGCAGCTTCGGCGAAGATCCCATAGTTGTCATCGATATGATAGGTAATGTTCATCTCTGTAACTGTGAGTAAAGCAATTATTGAAAGAATCTCCTAACCAAAGCTATACAAAACTATTATTAAACTCTGTACCTACTTTCATATTCAAAGGTATAGAAAAGAAGCAGATATTCATACGCATTCCCAAGAAATAATACATAAAAATTACATTTAACTGAACTTATTTTGTTTGCAGTGGACGTTACTTTCATAATAGACATCCTAATAAACTTCCGCACAACGTACGTTAACGTGGCGGATGAAGTGGAGTCGGACCCCGCCAAGATCGCCATGCACTACCTGCGAGGCTGGTTCCTCATTGACCTTGTCGCCGCCATCCCGTTCGATCTCCTACTCTTCGGCACCGACACCGACGAAGTGAGCTGCTTTACCTACATACATCACCTTTGGTTCCATCTCACATACGACCTACACAAACTTAAATTTAGAATTAGATAACAAAAATGAATGGCTGACTAGAAGACAAAAACACCAACGGCCTTGCCGTGATTCGCAAACTGGTATCGCTAGTCGCATACCTGGTTCACTCGCCAAACATCGAGAATCGATTCAAATCGTTTTTGGAGCGTGAACATAGTAAGTTTGCATTTCACGGAGGATATCCAGACGATCAGTTGTCCGAAACGGTGTCAGCTCTCGGAATCCCGAACTTTTTACGTTAAGAGAGCACAAAATATGAATACAGTTAAACTCTAATATAAATAACGCAGTGGTCATAGTGGAGGCCATACAGTACAACAAGATTAGGGTGGCGAAGCACGATACATTCCGCATTGTGAAGGGTAAAATAGGTCATAAGAATATGAAAGCAAACTAGGTCAAGTTAGGGTTGCTCGACAAACATTTCAAGACGAAACAATTAGTACCTATAGAGTATTTGATCAGTTTGACACTGTCTCGTTCGGGATCTACGGTTCTTTCGGACAAATGAAGTTCTGGTTATTTTATAGCGAGTCACGTAGTTGTGGAATGCAGTCAATGCAAGTGTCACTTTCGACTAGGTTACCACAGCCGATCATTCAAAGATCCCACTTTATATTTGAATCAATTAGCTATTTATTGTCAATTATTTTAAAACAACCAAATTGTAAAACCGACTAAAATCATATCATCCAGTATGTTTTGTTCGTAAGCAAAGTTGATTTGTGATTTTATTTTGATTTAAGACAACTACTTATTATTACCTCTTGATTTTGTTGACGATTAGTAAGAGTCGTGATTTATTTTATCATTTGTCAATAGTCACGTTGTGGAGAATGCCCGAAGGTGGGTGCGTATTGAATTTGTAATACCATTTCTTGTTACAGCAGGGGCTGGAAAGTGATGAGGTATACCATCTTTGTGAACTATTTTTATGTTGCTGCCACTCAATTTTATTATATTTTTAGTTGACATATTTTATTCATTAATTTCCACTAGCCATTTTGAATCCACTAAATGAATGCGTTAATGGAAGATATGGACGCTTCCCATGAGCAAAATGTCAATCATTCAAGTCGTACATAACACTGTTCCCGACATGTACCGAAGCTCACTAGTTGTATCATGAGCTTGCAGCCCGCGCCCGCGCCCGCGCCGCGCCGCGCCGCGCCGCGCCGCCGGTGTCCGACTACCAACATGGCTAGATCCGATCAGAACATCGCTCTGCCTAGCACTTTTTGCTCAATCATAAAATGAGTAACATCTGAAAGTCTCAGAAATTAATCTGACTAGTATTACATAATGATAATGATCCACATACAAAAGTGGAATTAGATGCATTTGGGAACTAATAAAAATGGTTCATCATTTATTTATATTTGAGCATAATTTTTAAGCTTTATTAGCACATACAAGTAACGTATTAATTAGTTTGGTAATGATATATTACTTGCATATTTATTGACCTAGTTGAGGACTTGACTTAGTACCACTGAATAGACCCACTACAATAGCGAGGAACGACCGATACATTAGATGGTATCGAGTAGGAACTAGATGTTGGAAATGAGATAATAAGTTTTCATGAGAATATGATTTCATCGCGAGAATACATCGGTGGAACATTTTTCATTGGCTTTTCTTAGTAAAAGTATACGTACAAAGAGTCACGATATGCACAGAGCTTGGTAGCAATTACGCTCACACTTCCCAGACTTAATGTACCGATCAATAAATCGCCTTTTTCACGACAAAGAGCACCAAGTAATAGTGTCAGTCCCCAACTTACATAATACTGAAGCACCCACCTTACATCAAACAATATATTGATGTACCTACGATACTGTATCTGCCACTGATCTGTACCCACTTTCATTTGTTTACTCATCGTTATTTGTGTTCGTTAAAATTTACTAATTGGTTTTAATGATCATCTACATTGTTATTTATTTTTTACATGCATAAGGATTACATATTTTATTTTTAAATTAAAATAAATTGTTTTGAAACGATTTTATTTATTTTTGTTTTTTTCCTTTATTCCAAATCCAAACTAAATAAAATTAAACTAGTCGCAGTGTACGGTTCAAAGTGAGAACCCATGAGCGATGGGCGGTACGTTTCAAAACTTTATAGTTTGAGTCATCGAACGTAATCCATCGACAGAGAACATCAACTTCACAGGCAATGCTTCCCATGATATAAACAGCACAAATACCTCACGTGTGAATCTTACAATTATATACAAATTTTACAAATTTATATTTTAACTAAATCCGTTTGTGTACCCTTTATTATCTAGCCTCCAATCAGAAGCTTTGAATGATTAATATTATTTTATTCTAAATTTTAAAACACTTTTTAATGTAACTCTATCAAATTATTTAAATTTTCAATTTTAAATAACACTATGTAATTAGAAAACCAATTAGGCCATGATTCAATCAATACCTTATCAAAAGTGATATCTAATCATTCACCATCGAAAATGTTGATAATTTTAGGTAAGTCCACATAATTATAAAATCGGATATTTGCCAAGAGTTTTTCAAATGCACCGAGTTGTATGAAAGTAACAAATCTTTGTACATATTTCTAATTACTGTATTCGCTTAGAACCTAAATTCACACGACCATTATACATTCACGTTGGAGCGCACGGTCGTATAGGGACTGTGCTCGGTCACAGTAGCGGGACTATGTATTGACAGCGAAGTGATAACAGTTATCAGACAGTATTATGCACCGCATTATGTACGAAGCCAGCTAATTTTATAGTTTTAAAATAATCGCTTTTAATTCTGCAAACTACATACATATTATGTCTAAGTTTGAGCTGGGCAGCATTCATAGGCCAGTTTTGCTTAGTTAGCGTGGTTTTCGCTGCGAGGCCTCGTTGATGCTATTTAGTTTTAAGCGAACGATTCATATAACGCTTGAGTTGGGTTTGCGGCTAAGTTGCGTTGCACCAGCGGCTGATGGAACGTTCTGAGCTGTGGTTGTGGTGCTTGCAGACCACGACCCTCATCGGTCTGCTGAAGACGGCGCGACTGCTGCGGCTCGTGCGCGTCGCTCGCAAAATTGACAGATACTCCGAATATGGCACCGCCGTACTGCTTCTTCTTATGGCCACATTTGTCCTTATTGCTCATTGGTTGGCCTGCTTATGGTGAGTTGTATCTGTTATATGAGGCGAAACTGTATGCAAGATTAAAACTATATATTTATAAAAGTAGTTAAATTACACAGAGTTGCTAAATTGGAATACATTTCTCACATTAATACAATATCGAAGTATTTGTCAATGATATAGGTATTGGTATATTAATCCAATAAGTTATTTTAATGTTCGTCTTGCTACACAGGTATGCTATAGGCAGTTGGGAACGCCCTCAGCTCCACGCTCCAATAGGATGGCTGGATGCTCTCGCCAATGATGTCCAAGCTTCTTATGACAACTCCACTGGTCCATCCATGAGGTATTGTAACTATAAATGCATATCATTGTCAACCTTCTGAACTGATAACTAATATGTAATGTGGTCTTTCAGATCTAGATATATAACCGCTTTATATTTTACGTGCACATCGCTAACAAGCGTTGGTTTTGGGAACGTCGCGCCAAACACAGATATGGAGAAAGGATTCACGATATTTGTTATGCTGGTTGGCTGTAAGTAATTTTTACGCTGTATCTATGTGTAATTCCTCTAATAAAATGTCACATAATGATGTTTCCTTGCAGCACTAATGTACGCCAGTATCTTCGGTAATGTATCGGCTATTATACAAAGATTGTATTCGGGGACGGCTCGTTATCATACACAGATATTAAGAGTACGAGAATTTATTCGTTTTCATCAGGTAAGAGTTAATGGTTATTAGAATAAATTGCAGAATATAATTTAAATCAAGTAATCTTCTTTCTTAATCATATAGTACATTGTTAGAGTTTACACCATTCATAGCGTTGTATATTGTGTAGACTGTTTACAATCACCAAGCTTTTATTATTAATTAGACACCAAGTAGCGGTTATAAAAAAAAAATCTGTTCGATACTCAAACAACTATTATCATGATAAACAACCTGTGACAGTCTCATTTTGAACAATGGGCCTTCTACCCTATAATCATAATCTTCGCGCTTGGTCTGTTGCTGGAGATCGTAATTTGAATGGTTCAGATTTGTCAAAGAACTGTAAAAATGGTCCCGTCCTTTGTAGGAGACCCACTAGAAGAATAATAGTGGTGTCTTTACTGTCACCACTATAGCGTCAGTGCCATATAGTATAATATAAATGTATTAATAAAATAATTTTGTTTTGTAGATAACGAACCCTTTAAGACAAAGACTGGAGGAATATTTCCAACACGCTTGGAGCTACACGAACGGTATTGATACGTCCAGCTTACTCAAAGGTTTCCCGGAGTGCCTCCAAGCGGACATCTGTCTTCATCTTAACAGGAACTTGCTCGCGAATTGCTCAGCTTTTGATGGTGCTAGTCCAGGTTGCTTAAGGTTAGTTTAGAGTTGGTTTTCAAATGGAAAGCAAACCCCAATGAAGGTTCACGGCAATATAATTACACACCTTGAATTATACACCGTTCATGTTCACCGTTCATCAACACTTAATTTACACTGAAACCAAATCTTTATTCTTTAGTGCTGTTTAAAATTACGTCCATACGATATTCACTACTTGATAAATAAATCTCATTGGTTACAGAGCCCTGTCATTAAGGTTTAAAACGACACATGCGCCTCCTGGTGAGACCTTGGTGCATCGTGGAGATGTTCTCACCTCTCTTTACTTTATATCAAGAGGGTCTATAGAAATTCTGAAGGATGATATTGTTATGGCTATACTAGGTAAGTCCTGAACTATAAGCCTGAAATTCTAATAACCAAGTTGTCTATTTTTAGTGTAATGATTTTGGAATCTATATATATAGAAAGCATGTGTTTTTTACTCTGTACAGTACATAGCAATAGGCTTACTTATGAATAGATAGAATATAATGTCGCCGGACTTACTTATACATAATACGAGTCTGCCTTGAAGAATATTGGCATGTCTTATATGTTGTTCAGGTAAGGATGACATTTTCGGCGAGAACCCGTGCATATACGGCACAGTGGGGCGCAGCAACTGCCGCGTGCGTGCGCTCACCTACTGCGACCTGCACCGCGTGCACCGAGACGACCTGCTCGACGTGCTCGACTTCTACCCAGAGTTCCGCTCCTCCTTCGTCAACAATCTCGAAATAACATACAATATGAGAGATGTCAGTAGAACGCGTCTTAATATTATAATTTATATACGTAACTTGATAAAACACTGCAATTTGGGTTATCATTGCACTGTTTTAATGCGTTCTATAACCAAACTATAATCAATTAGGTGTTTTCGTAGTACTTCGTAGCATTCATCGTAGCTAGACTGCGTGCTACGAGTCTCCACGTAGCATCTACGATTGCGTAGACATTTCGTAGCACACAAAATGTATTTTGTTGAAAAGTATAATATTTTGAGGTTTGAAATATTATTATATTATGGAATTAGATCTACAAATTATTAATTGGTTAGATATGTAACATCCCTATCTAGTTATATCCTGTGTTGTTTTAATGTTTAGGTTTTGACGAAATTAGTATTATTAAAGCGTCGTATTGTACTTATATCGTACGGGGGTGGTTTTTTTACAGGAAGAGTTGGGTGGTATCGAGCCGAAGCGTCGCATGCGCTATGAGAACCCGTGCGATGCACGCTTGCTTCGGGAGGCATATGCACGAACTACACGAAGGCCGCACACTGAAACGTTCGCGGAAAAAGTTGTGAGTAACGAATTCTAGTTACAAAAGTGTATGACCTGCGAACATTTTGTATCTGGGATATATATTTGAGGTGTTACCCAATATCTGCAGGACTCGCAATGCAGTGACGACGACACGGAGTCCCCGGCCAGCCGCGGCATCTTGGAGTTCTCTGCGGACAAGGCTGGCCAGGACGTCACCCCGCTCAACTTCAACTTCAGTAAACAGCGGTCAACCACTCTCAACTCTATCACCGGTAAGTCCACCAACATGCCAATGGAATGTACCTTTATTTCTTTATTATTATGAACGTACACCACAGACGCCCGTGCGCAAAGTTCAATATAAAGTCACAGAGATCACGGGTGGCATGTTGTGGTAGACCCTCCTCTATTCATAGACTAGATGACCTACACATAGTAAATGGATGACCGATATATGCATCTCCCTTCGCCATGTTTGAGAATCTTCTATACTTACTGTAATACCTTAACGTCCGTTCTGAAAACCAAGTATTTTTTTTTTCTTCGTTAAAGAAATTGATTTCTGTCTTAAACATTTTGATAATTTAATTTTAATCATTAATTTTTTATATTTTGCAAAAAGTTTTTATATCTTGCCGTACCTGTATCAAATACGAGCACTGACAGTATCTTGAATTTATTTTGAACTTTTTGCAAAATTTATTCAATTGTACAAAAATCATTGCAATTAACTCAATTGGACATAACATTAAAGAACACAAAAAATACATTTGTCAAAATTTATAGTTACTAATTGAATTTAATTTCATTTAGGGCAGCATGTGTTACGCTTGTTTCCTTGTTTATTTATATTCCTATATACTGGTGACGTGGGAGGGGATGCGGTGTGGCTATATATTGGTGGGTCAGTAGTGGCACTGCCGGCAGTGGCCACGGGGCCGCCGCGGAGCACTGACTCCCGCCCGCGGCGGCTCCACGCACCCCGCACCCCGCACCCCCGGTACCGCCCGCCCCGCTCTGAGCGCGGCCCTTGTGTGCAGGCATGCTAGCGCAACTTAAACGGAGCTTCCCAGACCTCTACCATCATAAAACACATCAGCCACTGCACAACAAATACTGTAAGTATGCATATTATACTACTTTGTAGTGCATGATCAGCAACTGACATCTGAAATGTTTATACAATGATACTGTGTCATCAGATTTACCGGTTTAATGGTTTCCATGTATAGATCATCTGTATAGTGCCGACACGAAACTTTTCACCGGAATTTTCATATAATTTTAATAAATATGTATGTATTATAATTAAATTAGATACTTACCAACACTTTGTTTAGGATATAGACTAATATATTTATCATTACAATAGATATTAGCAGCTCCAGGTACATTACAATATTTATAAACCATTTATTAAACAACAATAGCAATAGTCTTGCTACCATAATACAATTGATAATATTCGCTGAATGACGTAAATGTATCCCTAACCAGTCCTGAACTAATATAAATTACTATACACATGCATAATTTCCAGCGCAATCTACGCCTCAAACGTATAGAAGTCGAGCGGGGGTGCGTCGCCAGTCGTCTGTGGGGCCGCTGAACGATACGTCGCCGCTGACGGGGTGCGCGGCGGCGGGCGAGCCAGCCGTGAGCACGCCGGCACACAGCGCTACGCTTCCCGTGTCCAGTCTCAGCACCAACCCCAGCTCGTACTACACGAATGCGTCCCCGTCACCACCCGCCGCGCCTGCGCACCAGCACGTCTCCTGTGACGATATTCTGGCGCCCAGCGCGCCCGCCGCCGCGCGTACGCCCTCTTGTCGCTCCGCGCCACACTCCGCCGTCAACCTGCACCAGCCTACCTGCAATGGCGGCCGCCCAGTTGCCCTCGCTCTGTCCCAAGACAAAGCACAAAATGCTGCAAACGCACAGGTTCGTTACAAAATCAAGTTCATATAATCTTTATACAATCTACTTATACTAGCCAACTTAAAGTTCTATATGTAGATAGAGATATTTATGTTTGTCTGATATGCATACTTTTGTTATAAAATATACATAATTATACACAACTAGCTTTTACCCGCGGCTTCGCTCGCGTCACAAAAGGATAAAAAGCCAATGTGACATATACCAATACACACAGCGCCATCTGTACCATTACTTTTGTTTTCCCTCGGGAATATCAAATTTATCCGGGGAAAAAGTACCCTATTATTTAATCCGGACTTCTAACTATACATCTGCAAAAATTCAAAGCAATCGGTTTAGTAGTTACGGCGTTAAAGTGGAACAAACGAACAAATTCACTTTCCGATTTATAATATAAGTAAGGATGACGGCGCTTAGGATAGGGAATTAACACCACATATTAAATTAACGGTTAGATTAGTTACCAGTTAATTCTTATTTTTGAATAAAACTCCTCGTATGTTCATAGGAATATATTATTAATTCTAAATATTTGCTTTTTTGTAGGAAAGTATGTCGCCACAGTATCAAAATGTCGGATCTGCTGCGACGGCAGCGTCGGTAGCAACTGTACTTACAAGACTGGAAGAGTTAAGTCGTCGTGTAGCCGTGTTGGAGTCTGGGCTCACCGCAGATGTGCGACGTATCCTGCAGTTACTGCAGGCACGCGAAGGCACTACACACCACAACGCGCAACCAGCTCACACTCCTTCCACAGTGTTACCAAAGGCGTCTCTCTCGGTACCTCAAACGAACGAGGTAAATTTTATCACCAACGTTCAATTACTTAGAAAGCAAATTTAGAGTTACACCACTGATATGGCCATTATACTTTGTGACTATACAGTGGGAGTGGAACTGGAACGGGGAGCGAGAGCGTGAGCGCGGCGGGCGGTACGGGCGCGGCGAGCGTGGTGATCGCACGCCGGGCGTGCAGCGGTCGGCGTCGGAGCCGCACGCGCCGTTGCCGCCCGCGTTGCCGCCGCCGCCGCACTCGCACTCGTTCTACAGGTAGTGTGAGGCGGGCGAGACGAGCGCCCCCCGCTCCCGGCCGTCGACGCGCTCGCTCGCCGAGTCAGCGTCGTGCGGCTCGCTGGCGGGCTCGCTGGCGGGCGGGGAGGCGCCCGCGCCCGGCGGCACGCGCCCGTCCCTGCCGCGCGCGCGCTTCCACTTCTGCCGGCGCATTGCGCGCTGTCGGCACGACGACGTCCGGGGCTTCCTCTGACGCGGCCCTCACCCGACGCATGGACCAATTTTGTACTTCCGTTAACGCCTAAATAAACACGTCCTCGCGATCTCGCGAGCGGGTGGCCTCTCCCGCCCGTGCCGAGTCCATTTGTAATAAATTTCATTAATGTTCGCTTTAGTAAAACTTAAGAATGTCCAGCGAGCCAAATTCGGCTAATTCGAGGAATGGACACGAAGCTGTTTCAGATGTAGGTAGTGTACGCGTACACAAGTGGTTAGAAATGCAATAAGTGGTGGATATATTGGGTGCTTTAATTTTATGTATGTAATTTACAGGCTTTTAAGAGAAGTAAATTTTTACATGATGTATTACGTATGGTATGTGTACAATAGCACTATCTGACCGTATCGTTCATCAACCCTTCCGGTTAATGTGTTTAAGTTAACGAATCCAAATGTATTATCCAAATTGACTTATCTACGTAATTATTCTATTCTAGACTTCAGCTAATTCAGAATGAGGCTTATAAGACTGAGAGACTACGTAATACCGTGAACTGTATTTCCAGAAGCGAGTACCTAACGATAACGCTTTCTACCCGTCCTTGCTCCTTGCCTTTACATAGTAGCTAGGTAATGTGTAACACTACTACGAACGACATGAACTGCTCCTTGTGGAAGTGCGTTTCTGAGGTTTCACTCAACACAAGTATACACATTAATTACCGCATTGTCTTCAATGATGCATTACTACATAAACATTTATCAAACTGTTTCGGTCGCTTGTATTCGTCTATTAAACTATGTACGATACTTCGCAATCAGACGACGAGTGGTTCCGAGCACTGCGTTGGTACTCATTCTTAATATACATAACAACCCTTGTCTCGTTTCTCTGTTTAATTTATGTGATTACTATAATTGTGGCTCAAAGTAACTTTATGTTGTAATGTGTATCCTAGTTACGGAGTAAGTGATTTCGCCAATATATCATTATAAGCAATAATAAAGCCCACCATATGTTAAGGTACATCGTGATTATAACGTAAGTGGCTAATAACATCAAATGTTAGGTGTACAGTATAACCAGATAAGGCTACAGTTTGTCGCCGCACTTAGGACTCTCGCCTATACTTAATCTTTGACGTGATCATCATATCATTCTGCGCCATATCGTTCCATCACTGCAACCTACATTTTTACATATTCTACTCTACTACTGTCCTTCAATTCGTCTGCAAGTTCTGCTAAACACAGTTATTCCTGTTATCGATGTTTGTGATTATTGAAGTGTTGTTTATCTATCAAATACCGGTCAATTAATGTTAAACTAGTTATTCCTTATTTGTAACAGCACTACAATTTTTACATTTACGACTATTTCACATTCTGCTCTCTGATTGTCTTTGTAGATGACAGCAACGACACTAGCAACCTCTAGCAAAACTACGACCTCTTGGCAATATTCACTGAATTGTTACTACACTTTCTCTTTGAAGCATGTTTTCCATAATATTTATTTATGTAAGACAAGCGCTATTTGTCGAATATTGTACTTATTTTTAATAATTTTAATATAAGTCTGCCTGCTACTTGTACACGATACTTATTGGTCTGACATGTTCGACTACTCAACAAATATCGTCAACATGAAATAGTACTACGAAACCAGATATAAACTGGAACAAGTGTTGGAGAACTTAGTTTTGAAATTAAAACTGCCAAATCTACAAGGTTGCTTAAAAAAAGAATTTTAAGAAACTCTGATTCGATGTATTGTTAACATTATAGTTATCGCTATGTGCGATGTCAGGCACCGTAAAACAGATAACAAAAGGATTACATTAAAAATAACAGCTTTAATTTATAAACATTTATCATAAAGTTGTAGAATTATTCAGACGTTTATATGACAATGACCCATTAGATTAAAAATAATTACATAGAATATCGCACATGAATTAAATAAATTGTTTTTCCGCGCGTAGTTGGTGATGTAATGTAAATAATTAGATATGTAGACTTAGGTTTGTAAATTGGTCAATTCCCAAATGTTATACTTATTCTTCAATCTATCTAGTTTATCAAAATTAATAGCTTTGCTTTAAATTGTCATCATTGTATGCCGAGTATTCTAGATCTACATTTAAGCATTGTTATTTGCTTTAGTAGTGATAGAGTTACAATTTGCCTGAATGTCATTAAATACTTCTGTTCAAATACTCAAACGCCACTCAGTTTTAAGACGCGCTTAAGTATAGTTCTGTCACTACAAATTCTTCGTAAAATGACAGAGAAGGCACGATATTTAAGTACAACTTATAATTGAGTAGCCTTTCAGTATTCGGGCGTTAGTTATCAATAAAAGATGTACCATTATATATTAAAAATAAATGACACGTTTAAATATCACCATTAGTGAAATAAAATACAAGTCCATTAACAAGAGTACTAAGGATTCATCGCCAACATCATCAAGAACGAAAAACAACGTGACAATGACTCGTAGCGAAAGGAAACGTCAAAGTTATAATAAAATACAATTTAAATAATTCAAATGTTCAGGCTTCAGGCTAATTTGTTTGTTACCTTATTTACGTACTGTTTGTTTCGGTTATTTCACTGTATTTTAATAGTACAACAAATTAACTAAAACATTGAATTTATTACAATAAGCACTAATATTAAAACCGAATGCATTTCATCAATTTTCATGTTAACGGCTTGGTCTCGGAACTATTTGGCAATATAACTCGACAAGTTTGAAGTCACGCTAGGGCTCGTATTCATTAAAAACTTATCTACTAGTCAAGTAACCTCACCAAACAGTTATGTAAGTAAGCCGTTAAATATAATTAATTAATTTAATATTTCCCACGAAGGTTATAACACAAAAATAGAATGGAATGAAATTATAATGTAATTTGATAACAGCTGACACAAAACAAAACATTGTTATAATCTTACAAAGCTGTTTAAATCGCACCAATAGGTGATTTGACTCAATGGAAAAATATCTGTTAACATAAAGTATTAAATACAACTAACAACGAAAAATATTTACGTGCTCGTCAATGCCCATTGCCCTAAACACATCTCTTAATTACTCATTTAAAACTTTTCAACGTACACGATTGCACGCTATTCACAATTCGTATTTTATTTGTTTGTGTTTATGAGCTAGGGCCCCTCCTAGGTGCCCCTCCAACGTCATCTGTACCTTGATAGAGCCGTCACATGTGTACATTATAACCACGCTAAAATGATTTAGAAGTTTGACTAATAGCGCTTAAGCACAGGGTGTAATTTGGTTCATAAGTCATAATAACTTAAGATCCTAGATAACTAATACTTATACTAAAATAATAATTAATTACCATCTATAATGTTAACGTAGGTATCTACTGTCTATATTAATGTTGATTAAACGTAGAGTTTCGAAAGCTTAGTATGTTTGACGACACACGTGCACCGACATCTCACGTACCCTTCTTTAGTCTACTTGATCATTTTCTGCGACATACATAGATATCTCTATCACATTTCTGCCGACTTGTTGCTGATTCAACTTACTTGACATATGCGTAGGTTAGAGCTTAAGGTATATATCAATCTCATGAGCACTACGGTACGTACTGGTTTTACCATCTAAAGGCCTACTATTGCTAAATGATGAACTTGTAGTAGGTAGTCCGTTTCAAGGCATATTGTACGCAGGGGTTCTTACTTCTTCGTACATTTTGTCACTATCGTCCCCATGCGCGTCCGTATCATTATTACCTAAATGCATTATTTATATCTTTGTGAAACCTACACAGAACTGACTTTTGCGAAATTTCAATGTTTTTCAGACACTACTTACTATTTACTACATATTCCATAGCACTCACAGTGCCGACAACAGACACCAAAATCATCGGCACCTTCCCCGCTGAGAAGGATCTCAACTTGTCAATAAAAGCAATTTGGAGCCGTGCTGTACCAATACTATTTATAATTTATTCTGTGACTATACGTAATAATAATGAATTGTATAAAATAGCATGTAGGTGCCGAGGTTTTAGCTGAGACGCCCTTCAGAATTATAGCTGTAAGTGTAGTGTTAAGTGGTCACCTTGCGAAAAGATGTTCGCTTAATCATTTAAAAATTGTTGCCTTGAAATATTTTAGACACAGAAAACTGGTTGTTTCAGCTTTGAATAATCTCACAATTATATTAGAATATTGTAACGATAAGTTAAGTATTTTATATTTCAAGAACATAAGCGCAAAGTTAACGCGTGCATTGTATTATGTAATTTTGTCTGTGATCAAAATTTTATATTGTTAAGCTGAAAAAATTAAGCGCACGTATAATTATTTTGAATGCTACCGTATTACTTTATACATTCTGTGTGCTTTTACACTAACATTAGTTGCTGCCTGAAACATCATAGGAATAGTCTCTACTCTCTGTCTATATGTTAGGCAGGGACGATACCCACGACATTTGATCAATATATTACATACTTTTCTACATTACGTACAGCCATTTATAGTAATCATATCCATATCCCTGTTAAATTATATAACTTGATATGCTTGATATTCCATGAAAACCATCTATTGTACTTAATTCCTAAATTGTATCTACGTATCAACGTATGTTTTACATAATATAACGTGTACAGCATTCATATCAACTCTTATTAAATGCATGAGCACAAAGCCTGAGCTTAGCATAAATCGATATATCTCAAAAATATCTAAACATATAAATTAAATTTTTACCTATCTTTTTATACGCGAAAACCTCGACAATAAAGTTCCCTTGCCTTCATATTTATCTTTATATGTCTACTTATAGCAAACGTGTTAAAAAGCATAACAGAATGTATGGGTAAATACAATAGGGACACGTGTATAATATTTCCTAAACTTTCAGATATCTTATTGTTATTAAATATCTCACTAATTATATGAAAAGTGTACATTTAATTATGTTATGAAGAAGTTCTGTTATTGACAAAACATTGTTGTAAAGCATGTTGCGTGTCAACCGAGTCGACTCAACTCGTTGAGTCATTGCTGTATTGGAAATGTGTGATCTGTTTGGTTTAACAATAATGGATAGGTAGTAAGGTAAAGCCTATAATTACGTGAGTCTGCCGTTATAGTGATATGGTCGTGTTCGACATATTTGGCAATTTGTCCTATGAAACTGTAATACAGCAAGGAGTTTGATATTGTTTGCAAACCTAGATACTTTAATTTCTTTTATGACTCTGATTAAAACAATGGAGTGTAAATGAACCGCATCTAAACTATGTATTGTAAACTACTGGAAAAGTGTGCTTACTGTATTATTTATAATTTGATGTAACACGCTTACATCCTATCAATAATCTGGGCATTCATAAAAATCATTCTCATGAAATCTGCACAATCAGTGTATTTACCTTCATGCATAATTAATTAATTACAGACTATTGGAACTAAAGTATTTTCTCATTTAAGCTAATACGTATGGGTTTAGGCAATAAATATTATAAACGTTAAACATGAGTAGACATATTTTTGTTTTGAATTGCAGATAACTCTCGTACCTAAAGGTTTCCATCGCGCTTCTATATCAAAATATTTTATTTGAAGATCCGTTAATTCATCTATTGCAGCATTCAAATAAAATACGTTGTTTAATAAATGTTTAAATACCTACAGTTCTAAATAAATACCAGGATTTTTAGCTTGCCCAGCTAGTGCATATTCCATTTTTATACTATTTATCTAATAACTACTGTTCAGTGTATATAGATAATAATATTAACATGAAATATTATTTTAAGAAAGTTCGCTCCTACAGCAAATTGTTTATTTTGTGCACCCAATAATGATAGTGACAACGATCAATATTTTATTTACATCTACGTTATTCTAAGCACTGACTGGAAAGATATTATGACAGTTAATTTATAAGCCACAAATTTTTGCTTTAGGTATACTTTTTATACAAATTATTGAACGTTTGTTCATTATTGTTATAATAATATGCGTAAACAGTACATGTTAAATACTTACGTGTACGTACTTAGAGCATTATAAACAGAGCACATTAGTCACATAGTTAATCAAAAGTTTGCATTCATTGAACAGCGCAAAATTCTCGTGGAATAAGTTCAGTGGAATAAAATATCACGCACATGCGACCTATTGTTTTATTTTCTGGTTACCTTTTTCTTACTGTGTCACACTGTTTTTTGTGGGGGGAAAATCATCCAATGACTGCCACCTGATTGGGGCGAGAAGGAGTGTCAGACTCTTACAGTCATACTGAATAAGAACCACCCCGTTCCTACTCCTGCACTTCGAGCCGGAGCCCCTTTGGTGTGGTGCTGTGTAGTGGCGCCATCTGTGGTGGTCTGATGGCTGTTTGAGATACTCGCGAAACGTGACGCGATGTACTTAGAAATGATTGAAGCACCAAAATGTCAGTGTTGAATTTATGTGTGCGTGTACTTGCATTCCAACACCCTAATGTATAAAGTGTAACAATGACAGGCTATGTCACGCGACAGATGTCCTTCGTGTCAATGTGTGTATTCTGTGTGTAAGTCTATAGTTGCCAACTGCCACAGTCATTGTTTCAAGAAAGTCTGTTCGCCTTAATTTTCAACATCCTTGGAGTCGACGCACCAGTAGTTGACCTATAGCTGCGAATTTTATTACATAGATCACAATAATTTAGTTGTAAGTACTATATTTTGATGAATTTATCACTATTAAGTAAATTTCCTATAAATGGATGACACATAGAGACTATGGATTTCCAATAAATGAGTAGTTGACCCCTTGGTCAACTACTCATTTATTGCCTTGACTTGAAGTGCCTTCACTTCATTGATTACCACTTATGTCTTAGTATTTGACCCTTGACCAGTTTAGTAAATACTATAGTTAAATGATAATAGTATGTTTTACTGAATTAAATAACGAAGTATTTTAATATTAACTGCTAACTCCATCTAAAATTGGGATCTTAGACATGTGAGACGAGTTCCGTGGCAATAACTGTTGAAAGTATTAAAAGCAATGGGATACGACTTGTCGAACGGGTCGACGAATAAATCCACGCCCAAGTGCAATACAATGCTATTCCCAAATGAATAATTCTATTTATCAGTCAGTATATCAGTATCTAGTAGTTGAAGATAGTTTTTGTTTATCATTGCTCCACAATACAATTTTCTCCTGTATCGTGGATGTTTTTATAACACTAAACACCCAACAAAAAGTATTGACATTGTGCCGATTTGTGCAGGTTAATCGTGTAGGATGGTGAATGGGAATTTAAATTGTAATATTTATCATCGGTAACACTACTAATGTTAACTGTCAATGTCAATTGTCAATGAAACACGTCAATTGTCAATGTCAGGCCGGTATTTATATAGAGCGAGCTCGTGCATTATTTTGGTTTATTTTTCTATGGTTTACTGAATAAAAATAATCATAACAATATTAATTAAAGCACGAAATATGAGTTCACAAGTAGTGAAATGCCATAAATGCCGCAACATATTATTTGATGATACATGCATACTGGACGGTGCTGATAAATGTGATTCAAAGACATGTGCAAGTTATGATATCAGAAGATTTATTTACATTAATGAAGAAAAAGTTCCCGATTGGATTAAAAATAAAATAGAGAGTGAAGACTGGACTAAAGGAAAACTAAACTGTCAAAAGTGTAACAATAGGATCGGCGGATTCGACTACATAACGGGAAGAAAGTGTGACTGTGGAGCGTCAGTACTACCACCCATACATTTAGTCACTAGTCAAGTTGATAAGCCTATAAAATTGCTATTGTAACTTAATTTACATAATCAGATAGTGCCCTAGTTCTGGTCACTATTGACTTTTATACAGGGTACTTTTTCAATGTACTGTAATAAGGTTTTTCAGCTTTAATTCAAATATAATTATACATTTGTAGAATATTGTAAGTTGTCCAATATTATTGTTGCAACTGTTTATTAAATTTGATTATTGTAGCTGTTAATTAACCAATAAACAAAATGTGAGTAAAGACCTATTACCTAACATTGCACATTTATATGATAATATAAGTGTAATACTTTAATTATTAAGGTAATTAAAGAAATAGTTTACAATTAAAGTTTTGTTTATTTATTTATAACAATATAACACAATACAATATACATGATGAGATATTATCAATGCGGTATGCACTATCCCATTATTTGTATAAAAATAAAAATTAAACCTTATTCAACAATCATTGCACCTTCGACATCTCTGCATTTTGCAGCTTGTAGTTCTCGTCGTATCTGAAACAAGTATTATAATAAATGATTTATTTATTAGTAATAAAGGATTATTAGAACCGGACAAGTTGTAAAAAAAAAATCTAAGTTAAAAAATTTAATCTTGTTCTTCTAATCACATATCCTTATCAGCTGCTGTGATATACACATTGATACATTTGCTTATAAGTAGCCCTAGGTTCCATCAGTCACCATCCTATTTCAAGATTTGCTCTATAATATGATTATAGTCTACATAATTTATTATAATTGCCAAGTTTCATGACAATATAACAATTAGAAGTGAGTGTTATTCAGATTCTTTGATTTTATTTCAGAATTTTTTAACTAATAAAAGTGTGTATTATAACAAGAAAAGTAAATTAAAATATACCTCTGGTGTGATTGTGGGATGGGATTGCTTTCTCAATAATTCCAAGAGAGCATCTCGCTGTTCCGTTGAAATGTCAGCCTTGTAACGCTGAACAAATGTCAACAATGCCTGATGCCATAGCACAGGTAAGTTACGATGATCACTCTGGAATCTAGAAAGAGAATGGGCTATATCATTTTTTCGAATGAAGTAAGAAAACGAAAGCATAAAACTTATTTTGGTAAAGAAAACTATTTTATAATAAGTAATTATCGTGAGACATAGTAAATAAACTAAAAATAGTAGTAAGTAGGCTGCGCGACATCGCCGCGACCGCCCACGCTGCTCATGAGGAAGAACCCCTCTGTGGTTAGAAACTAGTGGAGCTTTTCTCAGTATATTCACGTGAGTAACCCGCTATTTTTAGTTAATAAACATATTTTAGTGTAAAATTTTTGTAACTGAAAAAAATACAGCAATATTCTTACCTGATGAAGTGGAAAACAACTGCATCCACTACTCTGTATGGTAAAGCGTACTTTTTATCAAAGAGTATTCTTAAAAATATGGAGTTTGCGCCAGTGTAATCCATCTCGGCTATCTTTAACATAGCTGCACTAGAATGCAATACTGGCACTGAGTTACGAGCTAGTACTGATCCTACAATTATGGCTTCACGGAGTGTGCAATCACCAGCCTGACAACATGAACACAAACAATTATTATCACACAGCTTAAAAAACATAAGACTCAGATATACTAACTTTGTATTATAACATTAAATTAATAGAAATAGTACATAATAAATAATATATAATTGACTTACCTCCAATAATGGCAATAAAATACCCTTCATAAAAGCACCAGGCTTAAACAATGCTTTTCTCAAAGCTTGGTATAAATGAAAGTTCAATCTTTTGTACTCTGCCAGATCATCCCGAACACGAGGCAGTAGGACTAGATTGTAAAATCGTTGTGCCATTTTCTCTTTTAAATTGGATGCGAAAATTCTGGTAGCCTAGAAGAGAGAAAACAAATTTCAGTTTACTGTTGTAAAATAAGATAATGCTCCTGAACACAATGATCATTGATTGTTAAATACAAGTTAACTCACACAGTTATTGGTCTAACTAAAACCTTATAACGTACCTGATACATGGCTGCAGCAGACCAAGTAGTTGGCTCAGTAATGTACAGAATTTGTTCCCAATTCTGCAAGTGTGGCACCATTTTGAATGCTTTTGGCAGTTTACCTGATCTATACTTTTGTAATACATCTCGGACTCCTTCGTACATTGTTTTTATCCTAGAAATTACATGATAAATGGAAGTCAAAACATGATGAAAAATATTATTTATAAACTGTGTAATTGATTTTAATTATATTTTTAGAGGAATATAACAAACTTGTGCTTGTACAACCAGCTTCATGGATCTAATGGAAGTTAAAGAAGAATGCAAGATCTGGCCTCTCCAATGGGACAAAGGTGTAAGTATAAAATAAACTTACCTTGGATCAATATTCTGTAACTTTAGTGTCTCTACATCTGAGAATTGAGTCTGTAATTCAGTATTTTTTTCAGTGATCTTCTCCTTGATTATGTCAGCCAGAGTCCGTGTTCTCTCCGGTTTGGAGGACATGAACATTTGGAGTGCCTCCTCATCTTCTTCATTTATTTCTATGTTGTCATAATAAGTGTCTGGCTCTAAATCATCTTTTTCTGATCCTGTGTCATCATCTGAATCTACATCTGTAAGAAAAAAAATAGTATAAAGATGTATTTAACAAACTATGATGACCCCCACAAGGATTTTCTTCTGTGTGTAGGTTTATTTACACATATACACTCTTAGTAGTTATTGGTATTGATAAAATGTTTAGTGAAAAATAGCTATTTAACTAAAACTAATTTTATTGTCTTTAAAACCTCTTTCAAGTATTATGATTGGCCATTTTACCTCTGAATGTTGGTGGCAGTGTCACATGTTTGGCTGGAGAAGGGCCTTCCTCTGCATCCCCTAATTCTGCCTGCTGCCTCCTGGCTGCTTTTAAGATTTTCTTTGACAAGTCTGCATTTACAAACTGTAAAAAAAATTTAATAAATGAAAATCTCTGCTTAATAAAATTATAAATAAAAAGTAAAAAAATAAACAACAAGTCAGTTCAGAAGAAAGTAATTTATAAACAAACAGAACCATATAAAATACAATTAATGTTTTTAATTTGTAAAATAAATAGCAGAAGGAAATATTAAGAATGAGTGGCATAAGAATTTTAGAGGCATAATGTATTTCATTATATTCTATGTTTTGTACTTTATAATGCAAATAAATGCCACATGATAACCTATACAACTACACAAGTTTATTGGTACTAGATAACATTTGGGTTGTATACACGTATGACTATTTCTTTTAGAAAACTAAAGGTAACTTACTTCTTCGTCATCATCATGTCGGTTTCTTTCTTTGACTCTGTTTCTACTTTTCACATTCTTTACAGATTCAATTTGATCAGCTAACGCTACATTTTTAGCAACCTGGGAAGGTTTAAACTTTTTAGCTTTTCCCATTGTATCAAGTATTACTATTTAAAAAGATTTATTTTGGTATCAAAATAATAAATTGTAACGATACGAAAATATTGCGGGCAACCACTTCACGACAAAAACATGTGCACTTATAGTGACATTGACAATATTCACAATCAGTGACATGCAGCAAAAGTGACATTGACATTAAGTTGTTCGTTCTATAATGTTGAAGAGTCACGATCACGCACGCACAGCACGAATCAAGGTAGAAATATCTCGCCTGGCGTGTCGTGGCGTGCGTAAAATATTTTGTTTTTATTTTTATTCAAGTTTTACATAATTGCGTAAGGAGGACTTAATGCTAACAGTATTCTCTGCCAGTCATCCTTTGGGTAATGCAGAAATGTATGTAATGTGTAATGTAAATATCGGTTTTATAATGGTTTTATACATTTCTATTAGTTACAATAGAGCCACAGAGAAACATTTACATATTGTCGCATCATGTCGCGTGACTCGCCAAATAATGCCCATTTCAGCCGACTGGTGGCCAAGACTAGAGATCCTATCTATACCAAGGCACCACAACTTTAAAGTTTATGGCGAAAACCGGAAATATATTTGCGTGGAGTCGTATGTTATGGCGTGCCAAAACAATATCGGTTTCATAAGTTTAAACCGTTTAAAATCTTAGAGCTACACTTTTGTGGCTCACTAAATTCTTCAGCCAATTGGCGGCCAGTGCCACTACTACACCACACAACTCCATTACGCACAAAGTGTGTTTTGAATTAGAATAAATAAATACAACCTAAACTTGCCGAATAAGCGGAAAAACTTTCCTGGCATGGGTAACTTAACTACTTATATCTTTGTGAAGGCTCGACCGATAGACATAATTCAGTACCTACAGCTACTAAGCGCGTATATGGTTAAGCGAGTACTTGTTTATTTTGTAAGTAGGGTAGGTAATAAGGCAAGCATAGCAAAGGAGGCTACAAATAAAAAAAAATAAAAACAACCATTTCTTATTTCAAAGTATAAATCATTTAATATTTATTTAATTAGGTACATTGTTATCGTTATCTTAGTAGGAATACGACATTTAGGTACATTTCAACATTTTGAATGCGAATTCGCTAGTGAGTTTTAGTGGTTCATTGCTTCAAGATCTCTAACAACCTCTTTAACGCTAGCGTTAATAGAATCGATTTCGTTTTGTACTGCGTTACGAATGTTGATCTCGACAACCTTGATGATGATAGTATCGAAGATTCTGAGGAAGACGTTGAGTACGGGGTTGAGCAGCCAGTCAGTCAGGATGTTGCCAGTGAAACGAACACGAAGACGGCTGAAAACAAACATTATTTTTGGAAACTCATGTCTGTTGTGTTTGAGTTTATCTATTTAATAGAGTACATAAAATGTGGATAAATGTGGATAAAAAATGTACTTATAAAAATGTATCCGTCAAAAGATTTTAAAGTATAAAGTAGGTATGTTTAGGTAGTACGAGGCGCCACAGAAGCAAGGAGGAAAAAGAAACCTTTGTAATTTGTATTCTAATTTCTATTACAGCGTCGTTGGCCGAGTGGTCGCAAGTGCATCTGCCGGGCAAGGGGTCTCGGGTTCGATTGGGGTCGGGCAAAGTATTTCTGGATTTTTAAAAATTTCTTAGTAATAGCAAGGAGTCTGGAATTTATGCCCGGTATATGGCAATAGGCTCACCCCCTATTACATGGGACTCATAACATAAATAGTGAAAAGTGGGTGTTACATTGTACAGTGGCATAATGTGCACCTCTGCCTACCCCTTCGGGGATAAAAGGCGTGATATTATGTTATGTAATTTCTATGACTACCTATGACCTATATATTATTTCTATATTCTATATCTAAGTATGTCTATATTCAATAGTTACAAAGGTACTTTGGGCCAATAGGCGACGGCGAGATACATGTTGAATTTAATCATTGTAATTATTGATGCTGTCTGATTGTCTATGAATGTAAATAACATACCCAATGTCAGTAAGTCTGAACTGTTGTAGATGAATTTCGTCATTATTGAAGTCCAGAAGTATGTCAACGATGACCACAAAGCGGTTGAGGCTGGCAATGATACCACCAGTGGGTCCAATGTTCATAGCTTGCACCAAGTACTTGTAGATGAACTGAAATTATTAAGAAAAACCTAGTTAGTCCTATGTAGTTTTAAAAATAGTTAACTGAAATAAGTATTAACTACTTATTATGTGAATAATCATCATTAAGTAAGTAGGTATCTATGAAAGAACTAACGACTAGCGAGTAAACTGTAACAGTACGTTTTTCATTATATTAATTTGTCTAGGTCTACTGACCAAGACTTTGTTTAATTAGTCATTACAATTGTCTGAATACCTCTGTAAGTACTTACTAATACAAATTACTTTAAGCAGAATTATGTTTTAAAATTAGCGTTTGAATCGTAAAACTTAGAAAGAGAGATTTAAAACTTTTTATCTCAAATCTCACCTCAAGGTCTCTGAACTGCAGCTTGATGCGCAGACGCAGCATTTTGGCGAAGTAGTGAACTTCCTGGTCGCCGGAGCGGGACACGTTGACTAGTCCAGTCATGTAACCATCGTAAATCTTCAGCCATGCGCTGTATGTAATCAGCAAGGGTCTCTAAAACAATTTAGATTTATTTCCTTTAGTAGGATTTGAAGATTCTCAGTAGGTATAGGTCCGCACATACATAGTACGCCTACCTATAAAGGATTATTGTGCTTTGCTCGTATTAGTGGTTAGACAGATACCAGGTACCTATGTACCTCTGCAGCTTAGCTTACACTGCAGCTTGACATTAGGTTCACAGTCACATGTATTTATAGAGTAGAGGAATAAGGGTCACCAATATACCAAGGTATCTAAACTAGACTAGGCCATGCATAGTTTGATTGACTATAGCAAATGAAAAACTTACTTAGTAGTTAGTATATCTAGTTTATATTTCCTAGAGTACGTAGGTACGTAAGTACCTATTAAAGTTTTCGTGATAGCTCCTGTATCTAATCTCTCTAGATTGCTTTGAGCACAGGGTCGTAATTAAATGATTCTTAAATCGGATAAAAATAATATCAAATTTAATTTTCCTTTTCGAACTTAATTAAAATAATTAACTTAGTACATAGGTACCTATTACCTACTTACTTATAATTTAAATGTAAAAAATCCTAACTGACATAAATTTACCTAAAGTTGAATAAAGTAGGTACCTACTGTAAAACGAAAAGGCAAAGCCGAAACTAATAATAATTAGTTATAATTATGTAGGCAAATATAGTTGTATTCGATCCAGATATTTTAAATAAGGATCGCTTATTTATTTCGGCAGCAAGAGAACGATTTATATCGGATCGTAGCGTCCGGCTGCTGCGCAATTCTTTTTGTGGCATACCTATGTACTTTTTGATGTAGGTATATACTTGTAAACGCACCCACGACGACATATACCTTAGTAAATCATAATTCGAGATCGAGTTTTTTTTTAAGAAACTAGTCGCCCAAAATTGGGGTGTGCGGTGTGACGCAAGAGAAAACGACAAAAACAAAAAACATACATAAATAGGAAGACACTTACAACTTCAAATCCCTCGATGACTTCGGGCAAGTCCATAGGATCAGGCCATGCTTCACGATGAGGGGGATGATCATGTCAATAGTATTGTCCACATAGTCGTTGACAGTTGCTGATTGACCAAGATCACCCCAGTCACGGCTGCAAAATAAAATTAATCATAAAATACCTACTTGATTCTGCATAACGTATTCAAGTATAAAGTAAAAGGTAAAGGAGGCCCTTATTCCAACTGCCAACAGTGGACGTTATGGGCGGTGTTCAAGATTCAACCGTATGGTACCTAAGTACATCTCCACCTTTTACCTAAGTAGTTAAAATATATTCGCCTTTGAAGTTGAAAATCATTGTGAAATGTTTTTAGAAACGAAATGTATCAAAATTGTCAAACTTACCTAGCTTCCAACAACTTCGATGTTGGTTGACTCTTCAGGTTGATAGAGTTGGCATCAGCCGCAGCTACCAAAAAGGCAAGCAACAAAGCTGTATATTTTTTATTCATGGTGCTCCAAATCGACCTACCGACTGTGATTTCGTTATTAGTCTGAATATTTTTAATACAGCGAGGCAGGTGAGTAGATAACAAGATTGCCAAATAGCTATATCAGCATTTGTTACAAATCAATGTCGATTATACACTAGATAGAGATCATAATTGATGAGGTTTACGCTATTGTAATCTGTTATTTGAGTATTATCGAAAATAACATCAATTAATTACGAATTTGAATATCACAGTACAAGGAATTAGTACCTACATACCTACTACTTGTATTACGCGCGCACCTACCATAGTGATAGATAGGTAAATAATATCTCAGTAAGTACCTACCTACTCACTTATCTATTAGATTTTACGTCTTAAAGTATGTTTTTACATTAATTAGCATGCGCAGACTAGATGTTTTAACGTCAACCCTGGATATTAATAAATCGATATTATTCCAAAATCTTTAGCGTGGCAGGCAAAATTAATAAACAACTTCCGAAATCCGAATTTAAAATCTTAGGATTAAGTTCGTTTTTTGACAAAGTCTACCTACCTACATAATTATACTTACAACAATAAGGTACCTACCTATTGCATGTCAAAAATGGGCCCTAATAGGTAGGTACAAAGAATTTGGATTGAGATTATTTATTAAGTAACTAGCAAACCCGGCGAACTCCGTTTCACCACCAGATGGCTTCGTTTTATGTAACATTCTTTGCTATAAACCTCACGGAGCCCGAGACCTTTCCAACAAATGCAAAACCGTGGAAATCGGTTCGTGCGTTCTGGAGTTATAGCGTCAGGAAGGCAAACCCGACTTATTTTTATATATTTAGTAGATTTAGACCTTGTATCGATCTAAATTTTTTAATGAAGAACGGTCAGACAGAAGCACTTTTTGATTAACTTGATCCTTTTGACTACTTAGGCTTGCCTCAGGCCTGCTAGACGTGGGTAATAACTAATAGGTACCCAGGGGCGTAGCTAACGCACTGCATCTGCCGTATCAATTATGCGGGGCCATTGGGTTACGGGGGCTCCCATAAAAAAAAATTTAGAAATCCTAAATGTCAAAATAAGCAATGTTTAAAGGTATGCATGCATTTAACTCGTCGAGTACCGGTTTTATAGACACAATTAAAGAATAATGGGTCGCGGTCACCGGTGACCGCTTGGTGTTTGACAGTTTAAAGGTCTAAAGTCATCATAGTCCAATAATTTGGGTAGAAATAGGTATGGGGGTCGTCTGGAAAATTCTCCGGGTGTTGTTTTTTTGAAAATTGGCAATTTAATCGATTCTGATGTAGGTAGGTACTCTTTCAAAATTCATCTTAGATAAATGGCGTTCAATAATTTTTCACACCTACTTTTTCCTGTGCATTTTGTAAGGAAAACGTTTACTAGGTATTTATAAATTAAACAAATAGTTTGAAGGGGCCCCAACCATATTTTTATATGCCCCGCCAAGGCTCACTACACCACTGGTATAACACCCACGCCTAGCGTAAACGCGTGGTAAACGCTCTTCGATAAATGTGGCTCGTAGTCTGACAGTGGATATTCATATGGGCTGTTGATGAGCGATGTGACCTTTTTTTTTAAGGGGGGAAAGTCATCGAATGTCTGCTCCCGCCTGGTTGAGGCGGAAGGGAGTGTCAGACTCTTACTGAGTAAAAACCACCCCGTTCCTTCTCCTGCACGTCGAGCCGGAGCCCCGGTTACCCGTTAGGTTCTCCGCGACTCCGTTTCTGGTCAGACGGGGAGCCACCCATGCTGGCCGTCCGCAGTCCCGCGCTTACGGTGGCCGGAGATCGTCCCGCGATCGCCGACGCCCGGCGTGTCCTTCGCGATGGCTGGGTTGCGAGGAGGCAGCGCTTCGCTGCCTCACGCGTCCCGCCTCCTCCTTAGGTAGCATGACTGCTTCGCAAAAGGAGGAGACGGCATCCCAGTCCCCCTCGCTCCGCAACATGGCCTGCACTAAGCCCGGACGCAAGAGGTCGCCATCGCTGATCACTTCCCTGAGGGCACGGCGGTGCTCAGCCCACGCAGGGCATTCTCCCACTGTGTGTTCCACCGTGTCCTCAGGGCGGTCCTCACAGTGATGACACCCGGGCGTTTCCTCTCGCCCCATCAGACAACGGTACCTCCCGAATCTTCCATGTCCGGTGAGGACCTGCGTCAGGCGGTAGGTGAGGACGCCGTAGCGTCTCTCAAGCCACTCCTCAAAGAGGGGACTTATCGCTGCAATGGCAGCGAGCCCAGCCCTCGGTTGCGACAGTCGTTGCTGCCATTCCGCCATGAAATCGCGAGCGATGTGACCTAACTACTCAGGGCCAAAACGAATTCGATCTATTTTCGAAATATTACTAGATCAATTGATGATTTTGTTAAGTAAGTAATTGTGATCGAAACGATATAGGTTTTGATGAATTACGTTGATTTATTGGTAATTCATTTTCCGAATAAAAAGATATAGGTAGGTACTTACAGATATTATTATGTTTGTTTTATGCTTGTACTTGTGGTCATACAAGCACTTAATACGGGTAGTAGTAGGGTACTCTGCACCTGGCTTTTTTTAAAGAATCTGTCCTCTGTAAGAGATTTAGACAACGTAATCCGGCAACGGGTATGTTCAATGATGGTAGTTATCAGAAAAATGACGTTTTCTCCGATGTCAGGTGTGTTTACAAACAAACAAAGTCATTACACTTCACATCCAGACCTGAAAGTACAATTTGTGGATCACACAAACAGTTGCTTCGTGCGGACATCGAACCACAACTGGCTGCTGCCTACCTTGCAGTCAGAGAATAAATAAAACATTTTAATAATATGTCATAAAAATAAATTTATTATATTTGCATATCATTGCCCATAACCCAATCGACCATATTATTATAATTATTAATTAATTAAATCATAAATTAATTAAACAGCTAGCAATCATTAACCCAGGCCACCACAATAACTAGCACCTAGCTAACCTAACCAGTAGCCCTTATTACGCTACAATAAAGAAAATGCAATACGAAGATTGAGTATTCACTTTGGCGCCATCAACACGTTCAAACGGTAGATGACAAAATACACACACGTACAGATACAGGTACTAATCTATGTACCTAATAGTATAAAATTGTGGAGGCCTGTATTCGATTTATTAAAACGCACAAAATATTTTCTCTCTTTACAATTTCCTTTGTTTGCCATCCTAAAATTGTTTGTCAGTTTTGGTTTTGGTATCAGCAGGTATCGAAACGGCGTCATTAGCTCTCGGTTGGTCGTCATTGCACGTGTAGGTAAACATTTTTATCAACTTTAATCATAAGTTTTGATTGGTTAATACGTGCTACTGACGCTTTCCGAAGTATATAAAAAGACGAATGTATTATTTATTACGTGCAGTATTTGCGACGCGAGCTCAGCGTGTGGATATAGTAGCATGGTATTGTCGTCCAAAGACATTCGTAAATCTGTATACAAAAAATACAGACTTGACTAAAATACTATAATATAAAACTCATCAATGTGATAAGTGTCACTAATAATATTAGTAGTAAGTCATTATTTAGTTTTCTTTGCATCTTTGCTGAGCATTTTTCTTCGTTGCGCCAACATGTGTCCGTACAGGAAGGGGAAGATAGGAATGTATAAGAACATGTAGAAGACTAAGAAATAATAGTAGTTAAATGCCACATTCCACGCGTTAGGCATAGATATTGTGAACAATTGTTTTTCTGCGATCTCATCCAGAGAGTGATACATGCACAACAGCTCTCCAGTAATTCCCAATGGGTAGAGAAACAGGAAGGTGGAATATCTGAAAAACAAAAATCAAAATTAATATTGAATCACTAATTTAGGCACAATAATACGAGTGATGAAACAATAAATTAGTCTAGTGACATAATACCAGAGAGACATGACACTGGTGAACAATGAACTCTATGGACTTTGTAACTTAGTGAGAAAAAGTTAATTATTGTGGTGTAGTGCAGAACAGTCAATTACCTGAGAAATAGTAATGTTTCTGGTACACTGTTGATCAGATTAAGAGTGTAGTAGGCGTATCTTATGATCTCCGTGACAGACCAGGCCAGTATACACAGGGGCAGACCGGGACTCACAGTGGCGGACTCAGTAGCTAACAGACAACCACATACTAAAAAGACGCGCGAGTACACTTGTGGCAATACAACCGCGACTCCAGAGGGTACTAGGCCGATTAAAGCGTGTACCACCTGAAACAAATAATAAATAATCTTAAAAAGGTACACAAATTTATGAAAATACATTTCGTTCTAGTGTTTAACAGACTTTTTTCTGTATTAATTCCTTAGAATATAAAACATCAATCTGTCGTCCAACGTGACATTCAGATTGATAATGTTAACGATTCATGGAGTAGGTAGTATCAATATATTATATATTTTATAATCTCTCCGATTTCTGCTATCATATTATTATATCTATACAATAATAAATAAAAATAGACCTTACATAAATATTCAATGAGTTTATACCTATATGAAAATCCTCCTGTTAAATTAATACGAAATTATTGGGATAATTTCAGCTATTTCATTTAAGTAATTACTTACTACAATTAATATTATTTATCCTGCATGCATTCCCAAATTTTTTTATTTGCATTGGCCCAAAATTAACATTCGACATAATTATTTATACCAGAACGTAAGGCAGTATGAAACGAACTGCCGGGTCTAGGGTTAATTATACTTTACATTACAATACGTGTGACAATAACATACCTACAGATGAATGTAGGACTTAAGATTATTAACTTAACGTACATAAATATTAATACTTCGACATGTATTTAGCATCTTTATGTTTCAAGATTTAATTAGCTATCTACCTACAACGCTTTGAAGTAAAGACTATAATCACGTGATCATTTGCGTGACAAGAAAATAATATTCTTGTACCGGTTTATGAACACGCCAAATGACGACATCGTGAATCTAAATAAAAACGAGTGATGGTTATGCCTGGTTTGTTATGTAAAAAGTAAATAGTCATAATACAAATAACTGTGTTAGATTGAAGGGTTGGGTTAGATAGAAACATGTATAACATGTACAACATATAAACAACCTAACACAATACATAGTATAATAGTTAGTTATATTATCCACTGAGGGATTGCCTTGTTTTATTATTCATCTATAGTAGTACTACAACATCCCCACAGGAATCATCAAATCAGTATAAACATCATTTTAAACAATATATTGTAGTGTGGCTATATGTATTGATCATGTGTATTGATTAGCCTTTATATAACTACGTCTGTAATTTGTTGGGACAGTAATAAATCGTACTCAAATGGACAACACGTGTTTAATTGATCTCTCCGAGCCACCACCTTACATGGCGACCCTGCCATTCGAGACGGACTGCTGAGTTAGACCGAGTAATTTTAAATTGCATTAACTTGTCCAAATTGAGAGACTTTTAAATTAAAATTTTACAATAATGTGCCGAGCAAATGTTGCAAAAGAAGACATTTTTATTACACAAAGTGCATCAGGTGGTTCAAATTCGGCTTCAATGCAAGAGTACCACTTGTCAAACATTAGCATTGTGATGTTTATAATTTGCACGATACTCGGAATCGCTGGACTTTACGCAGTGTATGTACTATACCGAAATTGTCACCTTTCATGGATAAGGAATGAATATTTCGCGCAAAGTTTGTCGCGATCGTTTCGTCGATCTATCCCAGAGGCACGTGTGTGTTTCGAGTGCCATCACCAGCGCCAAGAACTAGCTCGCCAGGAGGCGACTGTAGCAGCCCAGAAGCAAAATAAGTGAATTATGTGAGTGAATTCAAAGTCATTAAAGTGTCACAAAACTGAAAAGTGCAGTGAGTGTTCGGTGGATAATAATAAAACAACTCTTTTTTTTTCTCTTCTCTTCTTTTCTAAATTTACACAATATTATGTATTTAGAGTATCTAAAGCAGTTATTTTATTTCATATTTAACTTTATGTAATGGCAAATGAGGTTAGGCATATATATGGCCAGTTAAAAGATATAAAAGATAATTTAACAAAGCTTAGTTACCCAAAAAGAACTCAAATTGTATTAAAACAAAAATTAAAGGAAGCGACACTGTTAAAAGGTCAATTCGATGAATGTATTAGTAATTTATCGACACAAATTGAAGAAAAACAACTAAGTTCGAGTGTTTTGAAAGAAATACAATCATTCTGTGATGCATTTGAAAGTCTTTTTATACAAATAGAATCATTTTGTTCAAAATCTTACTGTTTCCAATCTAGTACAGCGTGTACGACTAAAACTGAAGTAACCAATATGGAGGCTTTTAATTATAGAACTGCTGTCGCTTTATTACCAGTTATGAATGGGGATGAAAACGTCACTAAAACGTTAATAGATAGTATAGAGCTTTATAGTTCGACACTCACTGAGGAAAGTCATCAGCTTTTAATTAAATTTATTCTCAAGACAAGAATAAACGAAAATGCCAAATTAAGGATGTCAAGTTCCTATGACAATTGTGCGTTGCTTGTCCGTGACATGCGTGAGCATCTCCTTACAAAGAAGTCTAGTGTAGCTATCCATAGGGAGTTGACACAAATTATACAAAATGGTTTAAGTATTGATAAATATGGGTCTAAAGTTGAACAACTTTTTGTTGACTTAACGGTTGCACAAGCGGATGATGATCAAAACGCGTATAAAATATTGCGGCCCCAAAATGAAAAAATTGCCATAAAAAGTTTTATTGATGGTTTACGAAATCGTGAAATTCGTACTATTTTATCAGCGCGTAACTATAGCTTGTTAAAGGACACAATAAGAGCTGCAAAAGACGAGGAGTTATCGTATAGTCGCTTTCAGTCAGATACATCTGAATACGTTGGTTACCAAGGGTTTTCCTCTTATAACAGGGGTGGAAATTATTATAGGTATAATAATAGACGCTCTAATCGTATAAATAATCGATTTATGCAAAGAGGCAACAGTAGAGGCTCTTATCGGAGACAATTTCAAAATCAAAATTTTGAACGACAATCTAGTGGTGAACGACGACAATGCGGGGTGTGACTCGCGGTAAGCCTGCACGTAATTTTTCGAATACTAACGATGTACACGTTATAGAAACAGGTATAAATGATATAACGTTATCTAATCAGAATCAAACCCCTGAAGAGTCAGGAGGTCACGGCGATGAACCATTGGAGTTTTTTCGATAATAATTTTGTATATGCTTGTAATAACAATAGCTTGGTGGAATTCATTATACAAGGTACCAAATATGGTTTACTTATAGATTCCGGAGCTTCATTATCCGTATTGAAATATGAAACTGTAACACGTTGGAATATTCCGATGCAAAAAGAATGTATTTACATAAATGGTATTGGGGGCAAAGTACAAACGTTAGGCTATGTTTATGTTACACTGGTCATAAATGGAATAGAATTTGTACACAAATTTTACGTTATGCAAACTTTACCAAGTATTCGGCATGGTATAGTGGGTAGAGATTTTATGTATCAATATAACGCTATTTTAAATTTTGAAAACAATACACTAACCATAAGTAAATTCAACAACATTGTAACTTTGCCAATGATTAATAATTCGGTAAATGACAACTGTTATTTGAGTATTCCTCCGAGATGTGAGAAGATATTTATGTTAGAGAGTAACTTTTATGGGGACTGCGTAATCTTACCGTATCAATTATGCGATGGAGTTTTTGTAGCCGGGAGCATATGCACTCCCAAAAATGGAAAAATTTGTATGCAGATATTAAACACTCGCGAAACGCAGGTAAACGTTAGCTACTTTAGACCGGAGATACACTTGTTAACGGATTACCATATTTGCAACTTTGAGCGAGATAACAATATCGATAGAGACAGAGTGCGCACCATGTTTTCTCTTTTAAATTTAAATCACTTAAATGAGGAAGAAAAATCATCCATTCAAAGCATATGTGCAAAATTTTCGGATGTGTTTCATTTACCGAACGATAGGTTAACAACGACTAACCTTTACGATCAGAGCATACAGTTGAAACCAAATGTAGACCCAGCTTATACTAAACAGTACAGATTACCTTTTTCACAACGTGAGGAGATTGAAACACAAGTCAAGAAAATGTTATCTGAAAATATTATTGAGCCAGCAAAAAGCGAGTGGTCAAGCCCGGTCTTGTTAGTACCCAAAAAATCAGATGACAGTACGAAGAAATGGAGACTCGTTATTGATTTTAGAAAATTAAACTCTAGAATTTTAGATGATAAATTTCCCCTCCCCAATATTAGCGATATTTTAGATTCCTTGTCGGGTTCAATGTATTTTACGCAATTAGATTTATCACAAGCGTATTATCAAGCCAAGTTAAAACCAGAAAGCAGGGAATATACGGCATTTACTACACCATCTGGCCAATATCAAATGACCCGTCTTCCTATGGGATTAAAGATAAGCCCAAGTGCATTTTCTCGTTTAATGACAGTTGCTATGTCTGGCCTAACGTATGATAAATTATTTGTATATTTGGATAATTTAATCTGTTTCGGACGTAACTTACAAATTCATAACCAAAATCTTATAGATATTTTAATCAGGCTGCGCAAAGTAAACCTTAAACTTAATCCGAGTAAATGCGATTTCTTAAGAAAAGAAATGCAATTTTTGGGACATGTCATATCTTCTGAAGGAATAAAACCGGACTCAGAGAAAATAAACATAGTAAAGAATTATCCCGTTCCAAAAAATGCCGATGAAACAAAACGATTCATAGCTTTCGTAAACTTTTATAGAAAGTTTATCCCGAAATTTGCTGAAACATGTTTACCTCTTAATAGACTGTGTCGAAAAAATGTAAATTTTGAATGGTCACGTGAATGTCAAAAATCTTTCGAATCGTTAAAAGAATCCTTAGTTTCTCCACCGATATTACAATATCCAAATTTTGACGGGAATAATACATTCATTTTACAAACTGATGCGTCAGGATATGCAATCGGATCCGTGCTATGCAATTGTGATAACAGACCCATTGCTTATGCTAGCAGAAGTCTTAATAAAGCGGAGACTAGGTATCCCACAATAGAAAAAGAACTACTAGCTATCGTGTGGTCAGTAAAGTATTTTAGACCCTATCTTTTTGGTCGAAAATTTATAATAAGAACCGACCACAAACCACTGATCTATTTATTTAATCAAACAAATCCATCTAGTCGGTTGACCAAATTTCGATTGCTTCTAGAAGAATATGATTACATAATAGAATACGTTAAGGGTACTGACAATACAGCTGCGGATGCTTTGTCACGTGTTCGAATAACTAGTGAGGAATTGAGGGAAATAAATCAACATGTTGTATCGGTACTGACGAGACGCCAGAAAAAGCAATTAGATGAAAATAGAATTCAGGATGTGAACGACAACCCTTTGGTTGTTAAGCAAACTGTAAACGATTGGACTGATCACCCAAGAGTTATAGAATTGTTTAAAAAACCTAAGGATTGTAACGAACTAAGATTTGTAGGCGTAACGGAATGGAATAATTTATATTCTTTAAATAAATTAAATAAAATTCTATTTAATTATGATGCAACAAATGGTATTTTAAGAGTAAACCCAACTCTCCGATTACAATGTGCACGAGATGCCTTTGTAAGGAAGTTAGCGGATTACTGTAATGAAATGAAAATTGATACCATGTGTATTATACAAAATAATAAAAATATTACGTTAATAAAAGACTTAATTAATGGTATTAATGGTGCACTTGATTGGTCCGGACCACGTTTTTATACTTTGAAAGGTCTAAAAGTTATAGATGACCACGATACGAAACGTATAATTTTAAATGATTACCATTTACTTCCAAGTAGTGGTCACGCTGGCATACGACGAATGATAAGTAACATAAAACGACGATATTTTTGGCCAAAATTAGAAAAAGATGTTATGGAGTTCGTAAATCGCTGCGATCCATGCAAGCGTCAAAAACATTTTAGACATATAAAAGAACGAATGGTCATTACTGATACAGGCTATTCGGCTTTTGATAGAGTATATTTAGATTTAGTTGGGCCCTTAAGTAAGGATAGTAATAATTACTCGTATATACTCACACTACAGTGTGACCTTAGTAAGTACGTTGAGGCTTACCCGCTTCGGAATAAGGATACAATTTCTGTGGCAACAGCTTTCGTTAATAACTTTGTATTACGTTACGGCATTCCAAGAAACATTATATCTGATCGTGGTACGGAGTTTGTCTCGAAAGTAATGAATGAGGTGAGTAAAGTTCTTAAAATCAATCAGATTACATCAACGGCATACCATCACCAATCCATAGGAGGCTTAGAAAATACCCACAAACATTTAATGTCATTTCTTCGCTTACAAACTGACAATGAACCGCAAAATTGGAGTTTATGGTTACCATATTGGAATTTTGCTTTTAACACTACCGTTCATACGTCAACTGGGTATACTCCATACGAACTCGTATTTGGGAAACTGTGTAATTTACCGAGTAATTTAACAACAAGTATTGAACCTTTATATAACCACGACGATTATCCACAGGTTCTTAAATACAGACTTCAAAAATCACAGAATGATGCGAGACAAAATTTAGTTAGGAATAAACAGATTAGAAAATATCAATATGATTTGTATACTAATCCTGTTACCTATAACACTGGCGACATGATACTACTTAAGAACGAGCAAAGAGTAAACAAATTGGATCCACTGTATATCGGGCCATACAAAGTAATAGAAGATTGTAATCCTAATTTAAAAATACTTTATAAAGGTAAAGAATTAATAGTACATAAGAATAGAACCAGACCATATAATAACTGATTGTTTTATTTTATTTTTTTTAATTTAACTATTGTCACTGAAAAGGTATTCTGATAGTATGTTATAGATAAGCTATGTAACTTTTACAAATATATTCTTTATAATAATAATGGGTATAAAATAAATATATGGGTATATAATTACAATGTGGTATGTAACCCTAGTTGTATTCAATAATATTTTTTTCTTAATTACTTTTCCTAACTGTAGATTATATACAGTAACAAAATAATGTATCTGTAACCAATATTTTATTCCTTATATCAATAAAAATAAAAATAAGTGAAACCATTATTTTTATTTTATTTAGCCAATGGGCGTGTAGTGTGGCTATATGTATTGATCATGTGTATTGATTAGCCTTTATATAACTACGTCTGTAATTTGTTGGGACAGTAATAAATCGTACTCAAATGGACAACACGTGTTTAATTGATCTCTCCGAGCCACCACCTTACATCCACAATAACCAAAAAACCATTTACGTTATTATAACATTAAAATGCATTCAGTTTTGCTCCCACACCCCTTGAAAACTTAAACTACACATATTTTAAATTTAATTGAAGGCATAAATATAGTTAAACAATATAACTGCTAAGATATTTACCCAAGATATGCTACATTTCAATGCCCTTGTAACAAACAGTATAAATATTCATATGATTTAAATACAATGAATATAGTAAAACCATTTATATTCCCGTTTCAAGTAGGTACCTACTTACACTTGTGTTTAGAATTCAGTTCAAATAATCCCTGAGTCATTTTGTCATTTGTAAAATTTATGAGAGATTACATTTTTGCAAACATCAACCTAACAACAAAAAAGCACTTTGCATAGCGCTTCATTACCATATTACATATATTTATTGAATTTATTACATAAATCTCTTGCACTTTTGCCTTCACCCAATAATATCATACTTTTAAATGTACATTTTAAAAATTGATTTGCAACTTTACTTGTTAAATAAAGGTTTCCAACAAAGAATACACTTACTCACGAACATTATAATGTTGGTCAAGAACTGACTTTAGGTGTAATTCTGTTAGCCAGCAATAAACAAAAACACTTTTATGCTAATACATATTAGTTACTTTTTTGTGCTTTCTTTACACAAGCATTTGAACATAATTAAGAAAATGATGTAGATAATATGTCTGACTGTTTTATAAAGTATAAATGTATTTGTGGTAGAACTTAATGCATTTGATTATTGAAATATTTAAGTTTTATACAATAAAATATAAAATTGTTTTTTGTAAAAAAAACATACAAATGTAGTATGGAATTAATCTTCTATTAAATTAGACTTTATATTTATTGTGTACATAATAATCAACTTTAAGTAAGATATAATTAGTTATAACTAAACAAATACTTTACCTCAAGGACAGCTGCATTCTGAAATACAACAACAGTTGTTTTAATAACTGGCCAGAAAGTATCCAAACTTCCACGATCCAGGAAATGTATAAATGATTGTATCAGCATGTACGACCATCTGCAATAAATAATATTGGACATTATTATATTGACTTAGTGATTGTGACTGGACAGCTGACTGCAACAGTCAGCCAACATGTTACGAGTTTAATTTCCAAATCATATGATTATTTATGTGATTTACAAACTGTTATCTGTTTCCATGTAATGTTGACATGATTATGTTTATAAGTGAACCCATGACACATGAGAAAATTATAGTGTGTCACTTTTTTAAAAGTAACATAACATAACATCACGCCTTTTATCCCCAAAGGGGTAGGCAGAGTTGCACATTATACCACTGTACAATGTAACACCCACTTTTTCACTATTTATGTTATGAGTCCCATGTAATAGGGGGTGAGCCTATTGCCATATACCGGGCACAATTCCAGACTCCGTGCTACTACTGAGAATTTTTTAAAAACCCAGTAATCCTTTGCCCGACCCGGGAATCAAACCCAAGACCCCCTGCCCGGCAGTCGCACTTGCGACCACTCGGCCAGCGAGGCAGTCTTTAAAAGTATTTTACCAGTTCTATGATTGTACTTCTGTATAATTATTAGTGCCCGACCGAAGCTTCGGCTTCGGCTTCGGCCACCTTCGGCCAAAAAGTCCACCTTCGGCAAAACATTCGGCTTCGGCCCAAAGCCCGGCCGAAGCCGAAGGTTTCGCCGAAGGTCCGAGCGACTGCCGAGATTAAACGAACGATGGAACAAATTGTAATTTGTGAAATTATTCATAATAAAGAAATGTTAAAAAAGTAATTGTGAAATTACTTTTACCAGTAGGTAAATCACAAACTTTTATTAATCTCTAAACCAACCATCTCTTTGATATATCATAAACTTCTTTATAAGACAGTCAATATAAACCTTCAATATTGAGGTTTTGAAATAATTTTAATATTAATTGTAGCTTGTAGACAATATTGAACAAAATACTTGACTGAGTGCTGAGAAAATATAAACCTTCGGCTTCGGCTTCGGCTTCGGCCAAAAATACACCTTCGGTCGGACACTAATAATTATGTCGGACACTAATATAATGTCAATATTGGATTGCAAAACTTAACATAACTAAGTTAAATAACATAATAAAGTTTTATGATATCAAAATACAGTAATAACAGCCCCTAATTTATTTATAACTGCATTTTAACCAAATTAGTAATACGTTTTGGTAATACTGAGATGTGAACCTACAGAAAAATATTAGAAAGTATCTAACTATAGGCATTCTTAAACCATGTAAAGTAACAGCAATAGTTTCTATACCGCTTTTCAAGTTTTACATTAGAAGATTGGAAGTAATATGCTGTCGGTTCTAATACGGTTTCTAGGTTTTGTAATTATTTATAAGATCTGGAATTTAATCCAGTGTTTACCAACAGGTTACCCCACGAAAAGTAAGAGCACGTTAACTACCTACTTATAACACATTAATTAAAATTTTGAAAACATCTTTCTAATAAACTTTAAGTACTTACCCTAAAGTTTGGATAGCATTATATGACAAAAGGTAGAATTTTCCAATTGCAGAGGGCCCTGAACTCTTAACTTTTTTTGCACTTTTTTCAGCCATATTAAATAAAGTCTTATTTTTGTTCGTAAAAAACGAAAAGTGTTGTAAAACAACTTGGTCTATAATATCTTCTCGTTATCAAATGAAAGTTATGGGACACCAGCACTAACTCTTTCGAGGACCCGTGATAAAATGACGACGAAAATGACGTGACGAGAAAGAGCGAAGTTAAAAGGTCAACGTCAAACCTTCGTCGAACGTCAACACAACAGGGAATCAGACAGTCGGATGACGTCTATCTATTGTACTGCTCACTAGAGCCATGAAGTCAAATCATAAAAGAAAAATATGGAGAGAGCAAACACGCCCAGTGCGCAATGGTTAATAAACAGAAACGATAATAATACTATCACAATATAATGCAGCAAATGTAGTGTCGTTGGAAGTAAATAAGGAATTAGGAAAGAACCGAACTGAATATGGGTAGGGGCCTAGGTGATCATGTCATTTCCAAACTTTTTATTTAGTTATGGATGTTGGTCAAATTTTTAATGCTTCCAAAGGCATGTTATTCCTGACCAAGTGTTCTGTTAGTTATCATGATTTGGCGAGTTTTCATATTTAACTACGAACAAGGTTCGGTGTGTTTTGATGTCCACATGAATGGGTCGTGTATTGATTATGGAATTTTGTCGCCAAAAGACCGGTATTCCATACTTCGTAAATAAAAAACACAAATTTATAAGTTGGCCACACTTGTTTGTTCTGACTCTGTCTTTCTTTTCTGTGCAACGCGTTTTTACGGAAGGTGTGTTGAATATTAGATTCTCTCAAATTATTTTATTTATGTATTTGTTTTATTGAAATAATCATTTCTATCTTTGTTTAAAGCTTAAATTACTTCTTTTGTTCCAGTAATTCGTGAATTCAACATACACAATGGTTGCGGCCAAGAAACAAGTAAGTGTCGTACACGTGTTTTAGCAGACATTTATTGGACTAATACAGGGTTATTAAATGACTTTATATTCACTAATCCTTAATTGAGTCCAAGATCATAATTGTGATACAAGATAGGCTTGCTCATTTCATAATTTGGAAGGTTGAGAACGTATCGAACAAAAATTTGTAGGTTATGAATTAATGACTAACAAAAAATGGAGTAGAGGGCTGTAAATACAGAAAGTATATTTTTACAATAATCAATGTGTAATGTAAATCTTATTTCGGTTTCAGAAAAAGACCATCGAGTCTATCAACTCTCGATTGGCTCTGGTTATGAAATCTGGGAAATACTGCCTTGGCTACAAGCAAACATTGAAGACTCTCCGTCAAGGCAAAGCCAAGCTGGTCATCATTGCTAAGAACGCTCCTCCTCTAAGGTGAGACTACTGAGAAGTAGAGTTTCCCAGTATATCTTATTTCGTCAAAGGGAAGCATATGGAGTCTTTTGACAAAGAAGTATGGATTCCCTCGGTGTTTCATAAACCTGTCATGTTTGGTTTTAAATTAAATGCATTCACAATAAGGCTGAATATTTAATTGTTCAACCTAAAATGCCTGCTAAATATGAAGTGTACCAGGCATGCCATAATTAGTAATTATCAGATCAAAACTGTATAAAACCTAGTTCAATGAAATACCAGTAAAAATAATAATACCACTAAAGTTACCACAAAACATGACTTGTTTCTGATCCACTTGGGAAACCTATGGAGTAGTCTTAAGCTCTGCTGAACTTTGATAGGTAAGCTTGATTGATTTCATCTCTATTAAGTAAATTATTAAAGCATACATGAGTTCTATGAGGTTGATGTCAACTGTCCTTATGTTCTAAGATTTTTCTATGTACTGTTCAATTTATGTAAACTGACCTTTTGTTGTAGGAAATCAGAGATTGAGTACTATGCCCTCCTCGCCAAGACAGGAGTCCACCACTACAGTGGAAACAACATCGAGTTAGGTACAGCATGTGGAAAGTACTACAGGGTGTGCACACTCGCTATTACTGACCCTGGTGATTCTGACATCATTACCACTCTGCCTGAGTCGCAGGTGTAGGTTAATTTTTAATATAATTTAAAAACAAATTGGTGTTTTTTTTTTCATAATAATGTCCTATCCAATCCACACCTTTTCCATTGCATCATCTTACGTCCCCTACGGCATTGCATTAGGTAATTTCATTAAATACAAAAGAACTTAAATTGGTCCCAGCACTCTCAATAAGAGCTCGAAAGACTTACTTTAACCTTTTGAACGCCAGAGCAAAAACGCATGAACTTGCCCTCAACGCCAGGCCACAAATTCACCGCAAATACCTACGAGAAAAATAGGGATTCCAAAACTTCATCGATAATCAATTTTATTTTCATTTTCGTCTTTAATTTCGAAATATAATGTCCTTATAACATTGAAATTTAATTCAACATTACATTTCTTCCTATTAAAGTAATAGTTATACACTATTTACAGACTTGTATAATACCGTAATAACAGATATGAGACTACAATATATTTAAATATAATAACTGTAGGTACAACACTATTCTTGATCTGCTGTCTTCATATTGTGACCATGGCGTGGACGGCCCGCCATTTTAATAACTACTTCGCTACCGAAATAAGGATGTGGCAACATAATATCTCGTTTATCGATGTTCTAGTACAATATTATTTTATAATAAATGAAACACGTTTTTTAAATCAGATTTATAATTCCGAATGTAACAGGTACTTAAAAATATATGATTGAAATAGGTTAAGAAGGTAAATAAAAACTATGAAAAAATAGAAAATTTTAATAAAATGTTATATACAGTATGTACTATGTATACATGTTTTTAAATATTAAGTTCTATAAACCTGGCATGCATATAACAATTAAAACAATACGATTATATAATCACAATTACCATCAGTCTTAACTAATAAATCTTTTGAATAATAGAACAAAATTATACAAAAATCTACAATGCAACCTGCATTCTGATCATCTAATTCGCTGGGTGCAAAGTGGGTGGTGGGGACAGTGAAATCGATCTCAGCGCGCACCGTGGCTAAAAAAGGAACTTTGGCAGACTTTATTCACGAAGTTATAGGTAAATATGGAGCCCACACTTAGAATAAAAGTTTCGAGTCAAATACTCTCGCTCCTATTCTCTGAGGCAAACTGAGGTCTGATCTCTTTTTCTAGTGTACTACAGAAATTGAAACAAACTGACCTCAGACAGTAGAAGAGAAATAAAAATTCAAGTAGGTATTTCAAGTGTGTACTGTGTACTCCATCTTTACCTACACCTTCATGCTTTATTCACTGCTTACTCCTCGTAAAGACAATGACAGTCAACTATTTGACGTACCAAGGTCCGCCGAGTCCACCGACCGCTAGTTGGCGCTGTCATCGCGCACCCAGCGAATAGTAAGCCATGTGTTATCAGGCATAAAAAAGTAACAAATTAAAACAATTAACCATTATATATAATTATCACAGTTACCAATCAGTCTTATACTAATAAATCTTTAGAATAATTTTAATATTTAGAACAACATTATACAAAATCTGCATTGTATTATCTTATCATCTAATAGTAAGCCATATGTAAATAAAATCTAATAAAAAACTTCATTCAAAGATTCTGTTTCCGAAAATTCTTCGTTATCTGAGACTCCTTCTAATATGCGAAGAAGTTCTTCCGTAGTCATTAAATTCCCACTCATTATAATAGTCACTTAATATAAATCTTGAACTCGATATCACAAGTAAATTAATCATAAATATTATTCATTCACTTCACTAATTTCTGGTCGCCGCGCTTGTGACGTCACGATATTGTCGTCTAGTCGTGACCATGGCGTACAGGGTACTGATAATTCGGGTTGCGTTAGGGATGCGCTTGAGTTGAGATTAGTGAATATCGAAATTCGACCCAACCAAATTTTATTTTTGACTATGTAGCTTATTGAATGATTTTTAAGACTGGTTTTATAAAATTAATGCTGCTTTATCCTAGTACCAAATTATACCTAAAATAATATATTCCAGAGGAAAGTTTCGAATCGATCTTTGATTTGAAATAATGATATTATCCAACATGCGCTACATCACTAGCGGTCACGCAGTTATGACTCTGGCGTGTGAGGACATTCTTTTTTCAGAGTTTATTTCTTTCTTTTTAACGTAAAATTTCTCAATATTTATAATGCAATTTAATTAGTTTTATGGAAATAAATAAATTTTGGACCTTCTATTTTACAGGTATATAAATAAATAGGCATTAAAGTAATGTTTAAATAGTTTATTTCGTGTTTTAATGTACCGCTGTTTTTGTCACATATTTGTGTCGTTGGCGCTCAGGGACAGTTTTCGCTTGTCACGTATTTGTGACCCTGGCGCTCAAAAGGTTAAACGTTATTGTAAAGCTTGTAAACTGCCTTCGGTAACGTTACCCCAGCCAGACCTTTTTCTTTCTAATGAGAATATTTAAATAATTACTAGCTATAAAATTAGTTGTCTAGATGAAGTAAATGTTGCGCCTTGTTTTGTATTTGTTCTTTCATCGGTTGCGAAGTTATTCGAGATTTTGCTGGGGTAACGTTTTTGATTTTGCTAGATCTTTGAAATGGCTAAGCAGATGCTTATCATATTTGGTACCTACATGGCTTCTTATTAGTTAGTTCAAATTTGTTGTGCAATAAAAAACCAAAATAATAAAAACTTAAAGGTTATTTCATTAAATAGAAAAACACTTAATTGGTCCCAGCACTCTCAATAGGAGCTCTAAAGACTTACTTTAAACGTTATTTAAAAGCTTGTGACTGCCTTCAAATGTATGTGAAGTTTCATTAGTATCCTGTAAGTATTGAACAAGTTATGATGATATTGAGTTCTTCACGAGCACGGTCTTGATGCGCGCGGTGTTATTTGGCCACTGGATTGGATATTTGAACTGAATGTTATGTCAATAATTAGCGCATGCGAACGAAACGAACGACCGTCCACGGCTGAGTCCTGTGCACACTGCGCGCCCCTTTGTGTTCGTACAAAATATGATAAGGATCCGCTTAACCATTTCAAAGATCTTAGCAAAACCAAAAACGTTACCCCAGCAGAATCTCGAATAACTTCGTAACCGATGAAAGAACAAATACAAAATAAGGCACAATATTTACTTCATCTAGACTAATTTTTTAGCTAGTAATTATTTAAATATTCCAATCAGAAAGAAAAAGGTCTGGCTGGGGTAACGTTACCCCAGCAGGAAATGTTTTTGCGAAATAATTAAAAAACTGTAAGCGGAACAAATTTAAAAATGTGCGCAATAGTTACAGAAGCCGCACAACTAATCTTTATATATATAATTCTTCTGTGAGTGTGTATGTCACTGAACTTCTCTCAAACGACTGGACCGACATTAATGAAATTTTTTGTGTGTTCAAGGGGATCTGGGAATGGTTTAGATACACAAATCAGCCCGGCAGATGGCGCTGCAGTCGATGTTTAGGTTATTTTATCCTAAACAGCTGAACTAATTTGAATGAATCTTAGTTTATACATTCAAGTGGATATGCAGGACAACGTCTGTTGGGTCCGCTAGTTATCTATAAAATTCAAATGACCATTTTCCACAACATTTGGCCTGGGTAACACACCAAAACGGCTGAAGGGATCGGGTTGAAATTTGGAACAGGTATACATTATGGTCTGGAATAATACAGGGTACTTGTTATCCCATTGGAACGTGGGTAGAATCTAGTAAAGCATATTTTAGACGTCTACGTCGTTTATCGTTTAGGTGAAATATTTAGTTTCTAGGGAAATTCGGAAACAAATAAATTGTCACATTTTTAAATAAAAGAGCACATAATAGTAAAAATAATAATATAATTCTTGTAAAATATCACAATTTATGCCACCTTGTCGTCTTCTTTATCACCGGAAACTCCATCTGTGGACAATTTACGAAATATTTTAAAGTATGTAAATAAATCATGACCAAAATCGATATGGAAGTTAAGATCGATATCTTATTTCACAACTACTGGTTACATAATCGACAACATTGTGTTGGAGACTTGGATATCTTGCTATTGGTTATCTTGTGTGAATCTTACAGGATCAGTAGTTTTATTTTCTATTTAATCCCATAAGCTGTTGGTATACATTGCCCAACCAAAATACCCAGGTGGGTAATGAAGAATCTCAATCGTAATACATATTTCATTTAGCCGGTAAAATTTATTGTTTTTATTAGGAATTTGAATACTTGAACGGTTAAAGCGAGGGGCTCAAGATTTCATTTCTTAGACAAATTATTCGCTCTCCGACGTGGCTTCCAGAAGTGAATATTCTTTGTTAATATTTCTCTTATATTCATTTTATTATATAAATAAAAGATAATTTCAAATTACCTGAATACGAAGATAAGTTTTTCTTCAGACAGTGAGCTGTTGTTTCTTCAACATTATTAATATCAATTTCATTGATCAAATGTGTCAATAAATTTCATCCCAAACCTGAAATTACATAAAAATATTAATGTATTGTAAGGTGACTCTTATTGGAACAAAAATCGAATCTACATTAAACTAGATAAATCTTATTAAAGATATTTTTTTTATTGAAAAGAAACGAGCTTTTATTACCTATGCATGCACACCAAATGCACTGTACTATAGTAGTTATATGGTGGACATACTTAAATTTCAAAATTTTAATAAGTCTCTGGCTGCCTTTCTATATAAATTTTATTGCTAAAACCTATTTTAGCTTACTAATTATACGCAAATACACATGTCATCTCACCCTATTCAAAATGTGGATAGAAATTACAAAGTAATAGGTAAATCTTAATATTCCTGTCTTATTATGAAACCAACGGTCTAATCGTTTTCCGTTTCACTTTATTTAATAATACAAATAATTATGCGTGCATTTACTCTCTCACGTACGCACTTGCGAGTTTACGCGCAGTAATATCTGCTAAAATCACAATACTTGCTATCTGACTTTTGTATTCATTTCGCTTATCCGTATTATAAGTTTGATTTTACTTAAATATAGTTTTCTCGTGAGAAAATTTGATAATGATGTGCTTTTTCTAATTAATATCGATATTAAATAGGTACCTACTTTTCAAATTTTACCACTATCATGTCTAATGTGGCATTCCGAATATTATGACAATCATTAAGTGATGAAATTTGTTTTATCCTACCCCATACATTAGATTATAAATAACAACCATCTTTTAACAATCCCTACTAACCATGACTATTATTGTGCCATGTGATAAAAATGAGGTTTTTTCCTTAAGTATTTGTATACATGAAACCTTTTTGTTTTATTTGCACCATACACCTAATTACTAAAATTAATTGACTACAGATTATAACGTCAATTTTTTCAGGAATACACCAATGAAGTTGATTCCATCAATATATACATATAACAAAATCTACATACTTACAAAATGTACCAAGCTATGAATGGTTAATTTTAAACTTTAAAATTAATAAATAATAATAATGTTGTTACCTGTACATTGCATTTGCAATATTTTGTATTCTAAATATGTATCTTCAAAACCGGTAGGCAATAGAGAAAATAATGTTCTCTCGTGCTGTAGATGAAATACCTAGTACTAAATATTATTTCCTAGTAGTAAAATAGTAACTTAAAATTAAACGGAAATTGATTCTAAAAGCACCATTCAATGTTTTAGTAATGTCTTCAAATCTATAAATTCATAATTAAAAATAAACATTAAGAATTGTGGTGCATTGGGTACTTTCCTTAATCAAAAATAAATTATTTTGACAGTTCAATACAATCAAATATTAAAAATATAATCACACACAAATAATAAGTGTTTTTCCAGCTAAATTTTAAGAAATAAGTATGTTGTTTGGTGCTGAAAATGTGACGTCCCAATACACAATCTCGTACAACATTTATAGAATTTAACTAGTTGGCAAATAATCATTGATAAATATATTACTTTTTAAATCCAATTATTAACTTCTTTAGTCATAATTATGTTATCTCTCATTGCCTTAAAATAACAATAATTTTTACTCGTATTTTTAATGAAGCTTGTAACTCTAAGTATGGTTATTACTTTTACTTTAAATGCGAAATTGTTACTCAATTTCAAATGTCATCTAGGTTAGACCATTATTACAGTCTATCATGTTCTTTTATGTGAATATACATATTATCCTGTATAGTAATTATACAGTTTCATTTTATATTTCTATAAAGTTTCATTTTGTTCCTGAGAAGTGAGAAAAAGGTATTTAAAATAAACACTGAAATGAAAACAATTTGATTAGTTTGTAAACTGCTTATGATTAATAAATATTAAGCTATTATTAACCACTTCATAATCATTGCATTATGACTTCCACGTTCCATCCATGTGGAATATATCAACCTTCAAACTTTTTACCAGTGCTACACATTACATGTAAGGTTATTCAGATGGTTGTGATGTCATTTTCTTTTCCATGTATAATATCTTCTTAAAAATAACGTATTCTTACTTAAAATGGTTGTCAGAGGATAGTGCATATGCACAATTTTTGTGTATATTATATGTATGTGATGGTGACTGAAATAATCTAAGTACTGGTTGGTGCTTTGCAAGTATAAACTTGCCCATATTGAAATAAAGCATACACATGTATATATTAGTTCATATTTTATTTGTGAATAGGGTCCTTAAATCTAAAAACATTACGGTACTTCAACATACCAGTTACAAAAAAATGAGCCATAGTAGAAGTTGCTACAGTTAATATTGCATAATATTATGAATATTGCTTGGCAAAATAATGAGTCCTAACAATATATAAATTATAAGATTATTTTAATTAAATTGAAACAAGTTAATTTTATTATTGCATAAAAGAAATTTTTAATTGCAATTTTTTATTGTCTCTTCTCAATGGTCTCATTCAGTCATTTACATAATATTTATCATTCTGTCCAAACTCTCACCTAACTAAAACATGATGTATGAATAAAACTGCAATGTTTAGTAGTACATCCATTAGCTTCAATAATTTGATCCAGATACTTTACTTTGAATGTGTACCATAAAGACGTAAATGATATTCTGTATAGTCAAACAGATCACCAACTGCCTGTAATGCAAACAATTATAATAGACGTCAAAACTTATCCACAAAAGTATTTATAATTACGTAATATTAAATTATGGTATTGTATTATATTATACTATATTGAAATTCATAACATTATGAATTTAATCATAATTATCTTATATTAAACTGTCAAACACCAAGCGGTCACCGGTGACCGCGACCTATTGTTCTTTAATTGTGTCTATAAAACCGGTACTCGACGAGTTAAAAGATTTAATTAATTATTTTTTTGGAGCAGACCTATGTTCCACATTACATAAAAAAATACATGTAAATATGAGTAGCTTCTGGATGTAAATTAAGCAATTATTAGGTGTAAGTCTCCTATTTATTAATATTTTCGAAATTGCCAACTGCAACACCAGCAACTCTTAATCCTATACTGAAATATCTTAGTCTGCCATTCATAATTCAATTTTGTACTGTTGAGATCTTAACTGTTTTATAATCTAAAGGAAGGTTCTTACCATAGGTATATCTTAACTTGAAAGAATTTATAAGTTATTATATACATTTTCAAAGGACATGAATAGTTGTGCTTAAGATGCTGTGCAAAAACAATTCATTAAGTTTAATGTCATTATTCAAAATAAGAGCTATATTATCACCATACCAGACTGTTATACAAATTATGTATTGTAATATTTTAATTTAGTATTTTTTTATTTAGTTACATTAATTTTGACAACCATAGACTAATAATTCTTTTCTCTAATATTGCTAAAATCCGACTCAGAGAAATTGCGTCTTGTCTGTTAGGAAGGCTTTAAATGTATCATTAGAATTTAATAGAGCGAGAATACGAGTCAAAATATTTGTCACCACCTTCGTTATTCATTTTTAGTGTTCGGTGTTCAGTCACCAAGAATTATTTGGTATTTCATTCATAAAATTAATAAAACATATTTTGTGAATCCCAAAGTAGTGGTTACGGCATACTTATTCACTTCTCTACATACTTATGTATAAATTTTGGCATAAATATTTGATAAAATAGGTTTCCATTGTATTTCCTTGACTGAAAAATAACTATTTCTGCTATCAATTTTCTAATTATTTGGTTTCATTTACCCTGTCTTAAGTGACCAATAAGAAAAAGGTTTAATTATCAAAGAAGTACTATTACTTCAGAAATACTATTACTACATTCTTGTAACTTTCATGGATAATATTAGGTTTAGGACAAGTGACCAATCAATTTTTGGTATCACTGACTAGAATGTAGGATATCCTTCTATACAAAATTAGTATTATAAATACTTACCGTAGTTATTGTTGTACTGTGGTTGTGGTTGTTGGTAGGAGTTGTAAGAGGGCTGAGAATAGGAGTCATAAGCAGGTGCCTGCCCACCGTACGCAGGTTCAGCACCGCCATAACCGGCGTCACCGGCTCCACCAGCCCCACCTCCACTGTAGTATTGATCAATGTTATTATTGTTATTATAAAATAATACGGCTTATGGAAGGTCCACAGGCAATCCTTTTGGTCTTAGTCAATGGACTCCCATAAATCCTTCTCTTATGTATTAAAAATTAAGTAAAATTGATAAACTAACCTGTATGCCCCCTCATTTTCATAACCACCTTGGCCACCTGTCGAGTATCCATAACCTGAGCCATAGCTACTGGAATTATAACCAGAACTTGTTTGTGCAGGGGCTGGTGTTGAGTAGCTGTTGCCTTGATAAGAACTAGAAAAAAATAATAGAACAGCTTGAATTACGCGATTTAATTTGAATTATAGTTTTAGCCATATTTAGTTTCTCAGAATCTATATTTTCTGCATTTGTGTATCAGACGGCAATTCCTATCTTATAGATTTGTTTCATCATTGTTGCAATTACTTAAATTTCCTTTTAAGAGATAAGATGTTTAATACAACTTACCTAACCCTTTCATTTTAATTATGTTGTTTTGATTGCACTATTACAGACGTTTCCTTACCTGGGTGTGTTATATGATGGCTGAGTATAAGGATCAGCTGCTGGTGGCTCGTAAGGCTGATAACCAGTGTGCCTGTTTCAAAATTAGATAGTTAAAAACATATCACATGATAATTTAAGTAAAAAGGACAATGTAGTTCATCAGTATAAAGAAAATCGTCAGTTGTGTTTCAGACGGCACATTCCTATCGTTTTCTGGATCATCATGTAGAAATATGCAAATAAAGATAGTGCAAATTGTTTGTAATACTCACGATGGTCCATAGCCATTGGCTGGTTGGGGTGCATTGTGTGGAGGAGCAACCTGCTGATATCCACCTTGAGGTGGCGGACGACCACCACCACGAGGTCCATCAAATCTGAAAAGGAATTTATCATAACTGTGAAGGACTAGTAATTGCAAAAAAAAAAAAAGAAATAGCTCTGTTCAGCAACATTCATTTTGTTTTAATTTTGATTAAACTACTTATGCTTACCTTGGCCTTTTAGGTGGACCACCTGGTCCTCCAGGTCCACCATGAGGTGGACCACCACCTCTCTTGAAGGGTTGTGCTGGTTGAGGCTGTATGGGCGGTGCAGATACAGCAGCATGGGGAGGTGCAGGGCGCGGGCCTACAGGGCCTGGACCTGGGTGTGGACCACCCGGGCCGCCAGGAGGGCCCCCTGGTGGCATCCCATGACCTCCGCGGCCTCCTCGTCCTATGAGAACAAATAACAGTCTACTGTGATATGAGCACAGAAAAAGAGAATACAACACTTAATGATGAAAAAGTTTTATACTAGATAAGTACTTAATATGTTTTAATCCGATTCTCTTATCAATGAAATTAACAGACATTTGCCAAATAATTTACCTCTCATTGGCATACCGCCCCGACCACCACCCCTATCACCTCGTTGACCAAAATCTCCACGACCTCTGCCTCCCCTGCCTCTCATGGCTCCAGGGCCCCCTCTGTTATTGAATCCTCCACCTGGTCATAAACAAACTTATTGGTTGGTTGTTTACCTTAAACTGTCAAACACCACCAGGACACCGGTAACCGCAACCCATTGTTCTTTAATTGTGTCTATAATGACGTTACTCAAAGGGTTAATCTATTTCTACACATCAACAGATGTATTCACAGACTCTAGAAGATGCATACGCAGATAAAATTCTACGAGCAGTTCATATATCTGTTGGTTGATTAGTCAATGTTCATTCATATCTAAATTAGACAGAATTAATATACATTGTGATGAGGATGCCTTGTTATTAGAGTATAATCTCATAAGGGGATACATACCAGATCATTTATAGCATATTTGTCGAACAAAGGGATAGGCAGAAATAAAGTTATTAAAATACTTGTATTTCAAATTAAATATTCTAAGGGAATAATTGGTAACCATTTGGGTTAGAAGTTGTGGGATTTAAAAGGTAAACTTGTAAGTTGAACTTCATATTTTTACTACATTGGTCAATAGTTAGTCTAATATTGTTGTAGTCCAGGTATCCTGAACTTGTATACCTCATATGAAAGCTTGGGAAATGTAGATGCTTTTCGTAAAAACTGCACAACAAGTGTCATAGTAAATGTTTATGTTAGAGAAGCATATTTCTTATGTTCTATGAATTTGGGATAAAATAATATTAGTATTGTGTAGTTGGATGATTGGAACTAGTAAATAAACTAATTAAGATAATAAAAAAGGGAAATAGGCCCAGCACATTCCTTTTTTGTTTTTTTTTAGTTACTCCTTATGCATCATTTTGAAATTAACACTAAAAGTTATAAACATAACATCACGCCTTTCTTCCCTGAAGGGGTAGGCAGAGGTGCACATTACGGCACATAATGTCACTATACAATTTAACACTTACTTTTCACTATTTATGTTATCGGTCCCATGTAATAGGGGGTGATGCTATTGCCATATACCAGGCACTATTCAAGACTCTGTGATACTTTGCCCGATCCAGGAATCAAACCCGAGACCCCTTGCTCAGCAGTCGCACTTGTGACCACTCAGCTAATGAAGCAGCATAACTATAAATATTTTAATAACTGTTTATTTCCACCAATGCCTTTGTTTGACAAATATGTTGGAAATTATATGTTCTACAACCCCATATGAGAATATGGTCTAATAAAATAATATAATGATATGGTCCCTGTAAATCACAAAAAGTAATAGGATACATTTATATTGGATATTATCCATTGATACATATCCTTCAAACCCTGCTTTTAACTACTTCGTGAGTGTGCTGGGTGCTAGGTGTCTGCTATATTTTAGTTATAAATTAGGGTGCTAGATGTTAATTATAAGTACACCAGTTTATGGCGCCTCAACGAATGTGTCTTAAACACTCTCTAGTCAATAGAGGTAATTACTTTAATTCACAGAAACGTTTTTATTGTTGTAACATACCTACATTGCCCAAACACAATTTCTTGAACTTAGTATAAACATAAAATTAGTACAATCTATACTCCGTCTGTTTAGGTAGTTAACTATTTGTAAACAAACCATAAAAAGAGTTCTTTATAATTGACATTTCCATGATTCAAAATACTTCATAAGAAAATGATATTGTTTCCCTTTTTACGACAGTTTTCTCTATTAAACGTTATGTTTCTGTTCCTTTTCACTTATTTCTTAATAAATATTAAATATATCTGCTTGAACATATTAATTTAATAATATTTATTAAATAATATAATATTTCATTACAATAGACACCATAAAGAGCCTAAAATCCCTGGTATCCAAAACGTTTCTTTAAGAACGAAGCAAAATAATGTTGTCAAATTAAAGAGTACAACGAAGATGTAGCGCGACAATGAAAGTAGCGTGTATTACGTTTAGTCGGTTAATCAGGCGCCATTGACAGCTCTCTCGTCGTTTGCGCTCGCGTTCCTATTTTGTTGAATTTAACTTGTTTCTTTGTTTTGTTTTTGTTATTAAGTTATTTAAGTTTAGGTTATCCATCGTTTGTAATTAATGTGTTCAAATATATTGAAGAAACTTGGCCCAAAGACAGATATCCGTACAAGAAAGAAATCCGTACATCAGATTCAGAATAGTTTCTATTTCAACATGATAATGATATAGACCCATAGGCTAGGCTCTTGTACGATTTAGGCATTTGTACTTGTATGTGTGTGTATGACAAATGAACGATTTTAAAGTGAATTTAGTTAAAATTAAAACACGAGAAATATTCGAAGTAATAGTAGGTTAAGTATCTCTGTGTCACGTGGTTTTCTTTGTTTACCTTTAGTTAATTACCTAAACAGATGGACTATAGCTAGATCATGCTAATATATCAGTTTAAGTATGAATTAAATCCTAATTTGATATAAAATGTGGTTATAATAGAACATTAACTTTGGTTATTAATTCTAAATTGAACTGTGCTGAATTAAAACTAGGTCATAGCCTTACGTTGAGGCGGCGCTCCACGCGATTCGATGGTGGGAACTGGGTGTGGTCCTGGGCCCTGAGGACCTGGAGGAAAACGGCCACCTCTATCGCCGCCGCCACCTCGCATGGGACCGCCTCGGAAACCGCGCGGTCCGCCACGGAACGGGAGGCCTCGTGGTGGACCACCTCTACCCCGCATGCCTGGACCGCCCCTAAAATTCAGTCATCGGTTAATAAATTCATAATAAAACGAAAATCATGCACTGCTATAATAAAATCACTACATAGATAACCTTAAAATATACAATGTTAAAAAGCACCACTGCCATCTGATTTAATTAATTACCTATATACGTATATAATGACTTACCGTCCACGCATATCAAATCCGCCTCTTCCTCTTTGATTTAAACCCGGTGGTCCTCCACGGCCACCACCACGAAAGCCACGGTTTGGCGGCCCATCCATATTTTTATATCTAAATTATCTGTTAAAACGGTAATGCAGTAAATGGAACCTAAAGTTATAAACTTCAAGCTTTTGTACTCAAATAAGAAAACACAACTCAACAAGGCGGCCGAATAGCGTCGGTACCGGCGGCCATTAATTTACGACTCGCAAGTCGCAAATTGCAAACGCTCGAATGACTTGAATTTGAAGTAGTGTTGAGCGTAATCAAAATGGCGGATCGCGACTTCCGTCCGCCAAGGCGGATTTCCGTTCTAGACAACCATCCAACTTTTTTCAGTGTTCAGTCTATGGTAGTTTTATAGCATGAAGTTTTTTAAAATTTAGATCGACGTTAGGCCACTTGGCCACTAGTGTCTGGCAAACGAAAATAGAGACTGAAAAAGCCCGGCAAATTTACCCTTACCTGGAGTAAGCTAATTTGATACTTTATAATAATTTGTTTGTTTGTTACGCCTTCACGTCTGGTTACTCCAGGTATGACATACTAATTTTTGGGTTGCTATACTGATATTTTTTAAACTTGCCGGGCTTTTTCAGTCTTTACTTTCGTTTGCCAGATTCTAACTCTGATCTCGCCTTGTGGTAAGCGATGACACAGACTTACAAAGACTTATTAGCTAAAAGGGCATGTTTAGCAATGCCCTTTTTTATTATCTATTTTAAGTCTCTGGAGTTGTCATTCGTCGTAGAGGATTAAGGAGGAGGCCTTTGTCCAGCCGTGGACGTCTTCCAGTTGTTGAAGATGATCCAAAAATCGCCCACCTGTAGCGGCCACGGCCCACGCCACGACACTTTAGTATGGTTGTCTACTTTATTTTTATAGTGTTATCTATTAATAAACGTTTTTTTTTCTTCTTTGGCAACCGAAATAAACGTTGTATCTTTATGGAGTCTGAGTGATTGTGCTTGTGCCAGGGCTGCCACACAGCTATTGACAGATTACAAAATCGGACCGTCATCTACATCTATTTTTCGAACCTGAAATTAAATGTTGTGCTTCGGTTCGGTGTGTCAATTGGGAAAATCATCCCTATACTTATTATACTCTTTGTCGCAACTGTTCGTGACAACCAGAGTATAATAAGTATAGGGGTAAAGAGTTGCCACTCGTCAAAATTTATGCCAATCAATTTGAAACGCCATCTGAAAATTGAATCCAAGTATATTTTTTTTTTACTAATGTCTACAGATAATCCTAAGTATAGCTAATGCCAATACTACCAACAATGCACCTTGCAGGTTGGTACATTGAAGGTAGTATTGGAATTAGCTATGTCTGGTTTATTACATTTATTTTACAATAAATACAAATTAACATTTAAAAATTATCAGCTAGTAGGGAAATATCAGACGACAGATTTGTTCAAAGTATAATTCAAATTTTAGTTCTTTTTTATGTTTACAAATTTCTTTTTTATGTTTACATTCAAATTTTATGTTTACAAATTTCAGATATAAATATGTCGTTCAAAATTTATTTGAATTAGTTATTTTTTTAATTATTGATCCCACAAAGAACTAAAATTAAAAATATTTACTGTTCACCGTTGTTTACACAGTACCTAACAGTAGTTAACAATCTAATGATATAAATTAACCGTAATACCTACACAAATGTAGTACATTTTACCATCGATTTGAATCGCTTACAGTATTTACAAAAACACAAAATTATTATACAATTTACATAACATAACATAAATAACATCACGCCTTTTTATCCCCGAAGGGGTAGGCAGAGGTGCACATTTCGGCACTCAATGCCACTGTACAATGTAACACCCACTTTTCACTATTTATGTTATAAGTCCCATGTAATAGGGGGTGAGCCTATTGCCATATACCGGGCACATTTCCAGACTACTCTACTACTACTGAGATTTTTTTAAAACCCAGTAATACTTTGCCCGACCCGGGTATCGAACCCGAGACCCCTTGCCCGGCAGTCGCACTTATTATTATAATGTCGAAAAATATAGTGCTTAAAAATAAGTCTCAGTCTGCCTCTCAGTCTCAGTTTTTTAGTACTTTTTTTGCTAGTTGCTAATAATGCCTGACTTTCGTTTCCTATATCTAGTTATATTACAGTCATTTTTACTAAACAACTACAGATTTTTCCTATCCTCAAATATAATATTTTTATAACATTATAATGAAACAAAGTAATATTATTATTATAAATACAAATGAAAATGAAACAGGCAAAATAATGTGGGAAATCCCAATTCAGACAGACTTCACAGTTGCCCACAACAGACCGGACATAATATACACAAACAAAACATCCAACACCACATACCTCTTTGACATAACTGTACCATGTAACTACAACATAGGAGCAAAAGAAATTCAGTAAATACCACTTTTTAAAGACACAACTCAAGGCTTTTGTTGAAATATTGAAACGCATGTTAATTCTATAGTAATTGGAGCCACAGGAGTAGGTACTAGCCAAAAGCCTCAGCAGATACACAGACAAACTAGAAACATAAATAGACATTAGCCACCATTCACACATTAATCATTTTTAGCAAAGTACTAGGAGACACAGTTTTCGTCACATACATTCCAGATTCCGATCAATTAAAACCATCTCAAGCGCAAACACCACATACCACTCAGTCAACCATCACATGAAGCTCACAATCCACATCTGGCACACAAACTACACCCAGTTAGTAGTCAAGTATTCAGCAGAAGAGAAAGAAGGAAATTTATAAGTCAAATTTAGAAGGGGCTATGAGCATCGTTTTTCCTGCGGGTTGCGGAACGTGCCCATTTTCACCAGGTCAAGCCCAAGAAGGAGAGACCTCTACATATATGAATACAAATAAGTAAAACCTAGAATAATGCTGCTACTCCACGATAACGATGAAAAAGAATTTTTTGATGCCCTAAGGTAACATTTTTTTTAAAGTGTGAATATGTACCTATTTTAGTTTATTTATAATTTAATATTACTTTGTTGTGCGTAGGTACTTAAAATGTTTTCTAATTATGATATATACATTAATACATAAGCAACACGGGCCACCGGCGGACCATTAATACAAAGATAAAAATAGTTTTACAAAAAAACGGCTTTAATATTTGCAGCGATCTATGGGTTTCTTGTTTCTTGAGACAACAATATACTCTGAATGTTTATAATAATTCCAAATAGTACCTGAAAAAAAACAAAGATTATTTTTACATGCAGAAATATGTATTTTATTTATTTGTTTTCTTTTATTTATCTAAGGTAGGTGTACCTTACGTGATATTACTGATGTTAAAAGAATAACTATATTATTATATTTACCATCTCTAAAATAGGTTTCAAGCACTGCTGGTATAGATCGGCACTTTATCCGGACATCGTAAGACTCGTAACTGCCGATAAAAAATTGCACTATTGATATTCTGCAATGATGATGCTGAAGTAATATCGATGCAATAGCAATTCCAAATATCACTGTAACAAATATACAAAAGAAAAAGTAGAAATTTATAAAAACTACATAGTTTGGTATCTCAATGAATCAAATAAAATGTATAAATAGGTTCAATAGCAAAAATCATAAACTTGTTGTAGGTTTTACCTTCAGCAACATGATTGTGTTCTTCGTATTGATGTTCTTTATTATAAATAAGATATATACGCAAATTAAAGCGTTCCTTTGTAAAATCAAGTCCAATGAATAGACAAACAAACACAATGTACTTTTGTGATTTGTGATACACATGTATACAAAAGGTCCTTATAGAAAACACAACACGCATCGCAGAACTTCCTTTTTAGAAAAAACAATCACAAAATCCCATCACAATTTATTAAATAATTTAAAATATTTTTGGCAAAAATTTTTACAATTTTGACATTTGAAATTTTTTTTTTTGTTTCTTTTCTTTATCAAGCAAAAAGTATACATATTATATGCCAGTATTAAAATAGTACAAACTACATGCATACTATTTTATAAAATAAGGAGACAATATAAAAAAGTATTTAACATCAATATATAATTATTAACAATATTATTTTAATAGTTATTTATTATCTAAATAATTTGGAAAATTATTATTGTAATGTTTTAATATTTTTTTAGCCCCAGCGTTGCCGTAAAAAATAATAATTTGACAATCCATATAGTACAAGAGCCTATGAACCCCAGACCTTTGTTATTTGCACATAACGGACTTAAAAAATAGGAAAAGTTATATACCTATGAGGTTTTTTTATGTTCCTTCAGGGATGACTTCGTCGTTTTTTAACGTATTTTGATGATTCTTTTTTACCCGACTTTAAAAAAGGAGTATCAGTTTGATCTAAATGTATATACATATGTTACAGCCAAAGTGATTAATTTGATATTATTCGTAATGACTAGTAATTAATCAATTAATGACTAGCTATTATGAATAATATCTTCGAAAACTTGGATCAAATGGAAATAAACAGGGCTGACGTCTGCACAAAATTTTGAAATTATCGTCATGGGTGTCGTTTTCATGGTTTTCGAGGGTGATCAAGCCGATGGTCCTGTCAAATTGTAAATCCAAGATGGCGTGCGCACAACATTTTTCAATTTATCGTCATGGGTGTCGTTTTCATGGTTTTCGAGTGTGATAAAACCGATGGTGTTGTCAAAATGTAAATCCAAGATGGCGTCTGCACAAAATTTTAAATTTATTGTCATGAGTACCGTCTTCATGGTTTTCGAGGGTGGTAACAAAGATGGTGCTGTCAAAATGCAAATCCAAGATGGCGGCTGCACGGTATTTTCAATTTATCGTTATAGGTGTCGTTTTCATGGTTCTCAAGGGTGGTGAAAATGATGGTGCTGTCAAATTTTAAATCAGAGATGATGACTGAACGAGATAGAGTTAGTGCATTTGTCGAGAAAGATAAAGTATGTGTGTGAATGTGTGTGTGTGTATGTGATAGAGAGACTGAAAGAATGCGTGCGACCTATTTTATAGATTTTCTTTGAAAATTGAGTATTTTCATATAATATTAGTTTTTATATAATAAAAACGGTGGCCTAGACCTGAGGTTCACAGGCTCTTAGGTTAATGCTTTTGGATGCAGAAACCTGACGCAGTCATTTCATAGAGTTTAGTTTGTCATCCATCACTTAATATTTTTTTAATCTCTATTATTAGTAAAGAGGCTGTCATCTTTGATCGATTATGCCAGCATAACTGTCATTTGATCTAAGTTTAAGGAATTATTTTGTAAAAATTGCAATATAATATTAAATAAATGTGTATAATGTTATTTTACTATTTCCAAAAAATATTATTTTAAGCCTAAATTTTAAAATAATGTTGCAACCTTGCTTGGAACTGTGTGGCCACTGAAAATATTAGTTTTGACAACATTTAATTTCAGGTTCGAAAACTAGATGTAGTTGACGGTCCGATTTTTTAAGCTGTCAATGGCTCTAAGTGTGACGACAACTGTCAACGTCAAACAAGTTATCATCTCAACAGAATATTAAAATACGTATCAAACTTAATCATATTTAAATTATTGGGTACAACTCGAAAACAATTCATGTTTTAGTATAAGCCACCTAAGATTTACCACCTATTAATGATGCAGAATGAAGATAAAATTTTGGAACACCTGGTATCAGTGGAGAAACTAGCAAATGAAATTTTATCAGATAGACATGAAATTGTTATGCTTGATAAAAGAAGAAATCAAAACCGTGAAGCTTTACGGGACTTATCCAAATCTTCTCAGAAGAAATGTTGGGTGACTGTAGGATCTGTGTTAGTCAAACATAATCTGGATGACACAAGGTTGTTGTTAGAGAATGATCAAAAACAACTCACCGTTGATATAAACAAACTGCGAAGTGACCTCAAAGTTAAAGTGAATAGTTTAAGAGATTTGGAAATGCAGAAACCTATTCCTGGATTGATGTTAGTTCCTCTGTCATCTAAAGAAACAGAGGGTTTATCAAGCTCTAAATTGATTCCTTCTTAAATAAATTTTACTAAAAAACTGATTATAAATAATTTTTATTTCAATACTACATACATTTTATTCAGGCTGTTCACGCATAAGCACATATGCCAATACGGGCTGAAATGTATGCAGTTGTAAACGCGTGCGTTACCCAGGCCAGATGTTGCCGAAAATGGTCATTTGAATCTTATAGTTAATTAGTTGTCCGGCTTCTGTAATTATAAACAATTCCTTCACCCTACCCCTTCCGCGTCCCACCGAACGACATATTATAACAGTGATTTTTATAAGTTTGTGCAACTGGAAGATAATAATAATGTTTTCATAGTACAGAGGTAAAATTTTACTGATATGTAACTGAACTAAAAACAACTAATTATTGACATAATACAGGATACGAATGAAACTGCACATACATTTGAAGGCAGTCACAAGCTTTTAACTCGTCGAGTACCGGTTTTATAGACACAATTAAAGAACAATAGGTCGCGGTCACCGGTGACCGCTTGGTGTTTGACAGTTTAAATAACGTTTAAAGTAAGTCTTTAGAGCTCCTATTGAGAGTGCTGGGACCAATTTAAGTGTTTTTCTATTTAATGAAATAACTTTTAAGCTATTTCATATTTTCGTTTTTTTATTGCACAACAAATTTGAACTAATTAATAAGAAGCCATGTACCAAATATGATAAGAATCCGCTTAATCATTTCAAAGATCTAGCAAAATCAAAAACGTTACCCCAGCAAAATCTCGAATAACTTTGCAACCGATGAAAGAACAAATACAAAACAAGGCACAACATTTACTTCATCTAGACAACTAATTTTGTAGCTAGTAATTATTTTAATATTCCCATTAGAAAGAAAAAGGTCTGGCTGGAGTAACGTTACCCCAGCAGGAAATGTTTTTGTGAAATAATTAAAAAACTATAAGCGCAACAAATTTAAAAATGTGCGCAACAATTACAGAAGCCGGACAACTAATTATCTATAAGATTCAAATGACCATTTTCGACAACATCTGGCCTGGGTAACGCACACGTTGTAAACACATGCTTAGCGCTTTCTATCTGAACACAGGCTAAGTCAGTCTTACCATACAGTTTATTCGAGAACTGTATAGATGGACAAAAATGTAGACCAACAATAGTAGTTCACCTGTGCATGGCTTAGGAATCGTACACATACAACATCGTGTCCACGCAAGATGAAAATGCAGCGAGCGGGCCGAAAGAAAAATGGAAAATATGCCTCCAGTAGTGCAAATATGCAGCAATTTTTTTTTCTTTTAAATTGGTACTAAGCTGGACCCCAAAGAGATGTTAATTTTATATTGTTTTTAGTAGCTGTTGTTGTTAGATTGAAATGTCTAAATAACAATAAAAGGACTTTAAATAAATTTTTCATATTTTATTGGGCTAAGGATTTAAAATAAAAGTCGTCAAATATATATTTTCAATATGCACAGTTATATCTTTATACATGTAAATAATATAGTACATAACAAATAAATAATAAATATTACCAAATTTTTAGGATTTATCCATTAATAAAAATGTAGTTTGGTGTGATAATTATGATACAAAGTGACTTGACTAAATGCCAATTTGTTAAGTGAATGAACCTTACAAATGTAAATTGAAGAGTAATTTTACATTAATTCTAATTGTGTTGTGTTGAATGTTTGTTATAATAATTTATAACCTGTCAAACATGGCATTTCTCCTTTGTTAATATCATAAAAATAATTATGTAACCAATTAATTATAATCATCACCCAACTATCTTAACATTATAAACAATATGGCATATATGAATTAATAGTTGATTTCAATTACATTTTCTTTTAGAAATAATCAATTGCAACATAATATAAAACCTAAGCACATTAACTTACTTATGCATAATTGTCAATATCAAAACATTTATCCTAGAGGTTATTGCTTAATAATATATATTCCTTAATAGCTTGTAATGAAAATTATCTTCATCAGTACAAAATGCCACATTTACTAAGAAGGTCCTCGAATACTTGAATGTAATATTATTTTGTGGATTGTCTTTTGAGCACATATACTAATTTCTGTCACTATCACAAGTCTTTGAATTTCGAGTGGCCAAAGCACATGATTTTGTATTATTGACTATTCTACTGGCATTATCTTGTACAGTAAGGGCATGCACTTAATGAGGGACGCCGTGCGGTTACAATCACAGATGAGCGGCGCACTCGGCGCCGGCCGCGCCCCTGCACTACCAGTTGGCCATGCCGGGTTTGTTGAGCGTCATGAAGTATATCTGACAAGAGGAACCACCTTTGGCGGAAGAGAAGAACACTTTATCATTTCGTTCACATAAGAATTTGAGTCGTTGTGCTTTCTTGTGCATAAACACGCCGTCGAGATGACCGGTTTCTACTGAACGGATCTCGATGGCTTTATTGCCCCAACCCATGATTTGTCCTGTGCCTATGTAGGCTACTGATGTTGGCATTTCACCCCACTGGAAAAAGACCAATATACATCAATTAAAATTTAATTAAAATACCCGTAGCAACAATACGAATGAGGTAATAATACAAACCTGGAGAACAATATTCTTGCTTACTCGTCCATATGTATTCACATAAACTCCTTCATTATCATAGCATAACAGCAATTGTACTCCGTTGGAGTTTGGAAGGGGTACAATGCAATGTGGCACAATAGCTCCTTGTGTCTGTAAATATAACCATAATTATTATATATTGCTGGTTAAATAATAGGGGCTTTAGCTTTTTTTGGGTAAATCAGCAGTAGCACGCAAGTCTAAAACGGCTGACCAATGGCAAAATTTCGCTCAGCCCCTTCAAATCTAGTCGTAGAATTTGTTAGTTGTGTCAAGAAATTGAAAAATAAGTATTATAAAAACAAATTTAGTCATGAATAAAATTAATTACTTACATGCTTTGGGATATAAATATCGTAGACTGTGGCAGTATCTAAATCAACGGCGTGGAAGCCATCCGCCGAACCATAAATTACTTTCAGTCTTGTGCTGTCTTCTATAGTCAAATCAACTAAAAGGGGCCTGGAAATACAAAAACAATATATATCATTAAATACCATCTAAGATAACTAATAGATTAACACATTTGAAAGAAAACAATATAGATATCATTAGAATTTCTTCAATTCGTCGGCACATCAAATTTATAAAACATTACTACCTAATATAAGATTTACACACCTATGTTGCAGATCTCCAAAGTTTTTAAAGGCCATGAATTTGTGATATGGTTTTGGCGCCCAAGCATAGATCTCAATAGAGTCCTTCAGGGCTATAACAAGGAACTTGATCCTTTCGTATTTCACAATACGGAAGTGAACTGCACCCTGCAGTTCACCGACATTAATCCACCCATTTCTTCGTTCTGCTTGCTGAAATTTAAACATTCAGATTACTAAGTGGTTTGTGTTCCAATTTATGTCATGTTGTTTATTCAGCAATAATAATAAGGTGATAAACGATGACATGGCAAGGCAAGGTGTTACTGATAGCTTCCAAATGGAAATGTTCAACACAACTTATAATCCAAGAGACCATAAGTCCCACTAAGGACTTGCAAAGCTATCCTGTTAGTTTGCCCTAGACAAGGGTATTATGTATGTGCTGTGTGTTTCGTTCAGAAGTAAGCTTTCACTCTAACTGTTAACACCGAAAAACAACATAGTTTCTTAAACTGTCAAATACCAAGCGGTCACCGGTGACCGCGACCCATTGTTCTTTAAACTGTCAAACACCAAGCGGTCACCGGTGACCGCGACCTATTGTTCTTTAATTGTGTCTATAAAACCGGTACTCGACGAGTTAAAGTCCGATACTTACGTCACTAAGTCCATCAGTGCGCAGGATTTTGGACTTTAGCCAACTGAGATAGTACACACGTACGCGATTTTTCTTTCCAGATACGGTCACAAGAATATTTTGTCCCTCTAACACTTCCATTTGTTGGAAGCGGCGTCGTGAGATCAACTGATAAACTTTTCCTTGCCCTGAACGGTCCAACAACATCAAACCGTTTTCAGTGCCAATAAGTAAATTAACACCTGTAAAGTGAATACTTGAGTAAAACATATATTCAGAGGGAAGGATAACGGGACAAATTAAAAAAAAGATAAAAAAATATTCTCTTACCCCACAGTGCTGCACAAAGGATTTCCGAATTGAACCTCTTCTTATATTTACGTATTTCGGGTGTATCTGACGACAGGTCGTGTCCCGTCGGAGTGACATTAACGTTAACGTGGCTCTCGCGCCGTGAAGCGTTGCCACCGGAGCCTCCCGTGCCGCCGCTCCCGGTCGAGCCCGCACCGAATCCGAAAGTGAGGAACGAACGCTGCTTCTGTTGTAAAGGAAGGAACTGTTGTTGGGAGCCCACCGACGAATTTGAAGGGGAATGTTGTAAGGGATGAGGAGACGCTGCGCCCACCACAAACGATTTGGACGGCGTAGATTGGACCGAGGATGGAGGAGGATGGTGATGATGATGGGAAAGAGGTGTGCCTCCAGCTATGGCTTGCCTATACTGGAACAGAAAAAATAACAAATATTACTTTATGAATTCTGACGCAGATGTCAGTAATAATTGTTTGCAGCACAATCAGCCGCAGCATTAACCACGTAAATAAATAAGTGATGGTTAGTTGAATAAGTCCATTTCCCATTGATTAGTTATCATTTCAAATACAGTTGGAAAGTTATTAGCTTGATGGCTATTATCTACATTCATGACTATAACATAAAATGTGATAATGGACATGAAATTGCAGCAGGCATGAACTCGCTGTGTATGTCGGTAATTTTGATGGATACGTGTGATTAAAATCACTTGCACAAAATTGTATTATAATTTGGTTGCAATAATGCCGATATTTCTGAAAACTTAAACCTATTATTTATTTTTAACAAAAACATTCCTTGTTTAGTCACTGTGCGAATTATATTTAAACCAAAAACATAATAATGAACAGTAGCCGCA